ACTTTAATGGTATTACACTGAGGCATGCTCTCGGCTAGCAGTCGAGAATTACACTGTGTTATTCAATGAAGTGCATGAGGATGACAGAGATTGCTTTCTTGCAAGAAATATAAATGTAGGGATGGGTTGTATGTAACTAACTCCATGGTAGCTATATAGCTAGTTGGATCTCAGTCATTAACTTGAATGTGCAAGTAATCTACATTGTCAGACTAAAGTTTCGTAGTGTCACCTGATTTCACAATCATCAAACCTAACTGTGTAACAGCTGAATTTCAAGTATGTCGCCCCACCTGTGTTTGTAGCAACCTGACCTGGCATTCGCTCATTTCATGTCCTGCCAAAGCACACAGTGATGTCTAGCTATTTAAATACTTGTGGGAAACTTCGGCATGGATGCCTGATGAGGTGTCACAACCCAAAAATATTATATTACGCCTCACGCTATTGTGCGCATGCGCATTCTACTGCAAAACTGGCAAACATTCTCACTCTCTTTCGGTTGACAGCAAGCTAGCAAGATGCGGATAACTCCAGTATCTGCCAGTCCTGGCGTCTCGTCATTCTCCGCCTCGCGACATCGGCCGAGGCAAGGGTGGCATTGATGGGGGGAGACCGGGTCAGGATCATCCGGATTCACGAGTCGCACACGCAATCTTGTGCGCGGAGGTTTATGCGCATGCGCATTCCACCTGCAAATAACTGACTGCGAATGTAATCTACCGCGATGGACAGTATCATATGCATAGCTCCATGTATCTGCCAGTCCTGACTCTCGTCATTCTCCGCTCGCGACATCGGCCGAGCGGAGACCGTTACAGTGACCGCACTAGCGCAACGACAACGCCTCTTTCTACGTGACGGAAAGTTGGTAGCCGTCAGACCCCCGTCCCTCTCGCCACACACAACGCCTTCAACGCCTCTGTTCGAGGTTCCTTCCCGTCAGGCACAGACGTTACTGACTCTCGCAGTTGAGGGCCCACGACTTCGCCGACGATGTGACGGACTGGAACTGTACACGACGCTGTCTCGGCGCAGGAGACTCCGCGCCCTTTTCAGTAACGCGTCGTCACACATCCTCGTGGAGTGCAGAACGTGGCATTAACGGTCCGTCAACTGGAAGGCATGTTTCGCGGCCGCCGACAGAGCGCCGGACTGAAAGTTATCGGCTTCTTTTTCACGTTAGCGAAGATGACGGACTAAAACGGGCTGCTTTTTCCGCATAAACCTGTCCTGAAGGTTGGATGACCGCTGATTCGACGACAGTGGATGGGAGTACGCACGGAGTGGGACGAACGATTACGTGCGCCCATTCGTCTGGCCCGTTTTCCCGCAAGGCTGCGCTGAAGACCCCAACACTATCATCAGTCCTGAGCTAGACGAAAATGGGAATAATCAGAACCTGCCCCAGTAACATCTGAATTGGGGTGCATCTGGCGTCCAGATATAGACCTGGACAACCGCATTCTCTGCCGCTACACCCTGAGCCTCGGAAACAGCGGGTCACCACTGCTTAGCACCTTCAGTGCTGTGGTGATGTTTTCTATTGTTGGTGCCTACTTTGCAATGTGAATAAACATTTTGTGAAACTTGATGGTTCACTATGAGTAGATTTAGAGAAATTCTAGAAGATTATGTATGTTGGCCAAATTTTCCTGTTTGGTGGGTTAGAGTTGGACGGAGTCCAAAAATATCAGGGATTCCAGGAACCAGGCTGGAATTCCTTCCCAGTACTGGTGGTATCCCTGCTTGTCTCCTCAGCTGACTTGAATGATGGAGCTGAGGCATGCTCCTCGGCTGCAGTCACATTATGCAAATAGCTAGGGCACTGACTCATAATGCATGAAATTATAGTTCATGCATACCTTTTATCATTTGTGTTGCCTTAGAATCTAATGGTTCATAAAGCAGGTAAATGTAAGTTATCAGTACAAACAACCCCACCTTTATCATCTCTCAACTTAGAAAAAATAGAGAGGAATAACCAAAGAGCAACAACTGTGTGGGGCTCACTCTTGACTCTCGCTCCAAGCTCTCAGATACCTTGACCCTCATCACCTCCGACTGCCTCAGACGATGCAACAGCTCCTGTAATTATGGGTAATTTTGGTCACACTCTACTACGTAGCTAGAGGACCTCGTGTGTTGGGGGATCTTGCCGGGAGCCACGAAGCCATTCTGAAAAAAATAAGGAAAATAGCTAATAGTACAGCTAGATGCGCGCCATGGACGACGTACGTTCCCACTCGTGTGGGATGGCGTCTTCGGTGTATTGGTCCGTGGAAACGCCCACCATCTTGACAGTTCTACGCAGTCTTCCGCTGTCGCCTACGCAATTGTCACACTGGTGCAAAGGTGGGTGAGCGGACAGCAAAATTCACCTCTAGGTTGCGCTTCAATGTACTTGTTTCCATTCAGATCAGTTCCAACTACTCTGACGCGAGATTTTAGCCCCAGTACTCCACGCAGCCTTCCTAACCACGACGACATCTGAGCTGCATGCAGTAGTGAAGGGTGGGCGGGGCCTCCGCGGTGACGAAGCACGCATGCGCAGTAACAGCTTCTTTTCCAAAAGCTAAGGCAGGATAGCCTAGAGAGGCGCTACACTATTCGGAGCGTGTGAGTTATCGTTGGTAAGAGCTCCGAAGAAAGATGACCATATTGCTAAGAGACCTGGACACGTTCTGTTGTCGTCTGTGCTGTAAACACGTGGACATAAATGACGTCACGTATCGTTTACCAACGACACACTCAAAATCGTCATTGCAGTCACTTCCTCAGTAGGGTGAGGTATAGCACCCACGCGCGATGACTTCAATATTGACTGTTGAGCATAAAGTTTAGAGGACAGAATCTGGTATGTCACCACACCTGAACCACATTCATTTAGCTATCGTTTGCTGAGTCTCACATGGCCTTTGGGTACACACAGTCTATGGTAGGCCTTTTGGTACATAGAGTATCTTGTAAAATATAATGGCAATGTATTTGCAATTTCTCTATAATGTATAATGCCTCCATTCAGAAGAGAGCCAAACAGAAGTGCACTGAAATAATTATGTATGTGGAGAAATCAACAGCACAACACATGATGAGGTTGTGAAGTGATGATCAATCCAAGGTTGAGTATACAATTGGCTATATAATACACACAGCCTATATAGGTAACTGGATTGATCAACTGGTTAACAATGACTGAAATCACTCAGCAAAACTCCTTATTAATGACGATGTCGTGATCAGCAGAAGTGTCCACCAGCGTGACTGCAGATTTAAAGTCCTTTTCTTCCTTTTTCAGAGCATACAGCCGCTTCCCCGACACGATATTTTCAAACTTTTTTGCCATTTCTGGACTTGAGGTGGCATTTTTATCCACACCTGCATCATTACACCCATTGAGACCGGTATTATTTGCAGCCGAAATATAATGTATTGTGTTATATTGTGTTATAGGCTAATAAACTGGGGCTTACCATGTAAAGATGCCTTAATGACTTGGAATGGCAACTGCCGACACTTTATGGGCAGGCATTTTACGGAAGAGAGCGGCAGCATTTCACTGCCACCATAGTCTATAAACTCCACCTCAATCTACAGGCAAATGATGACATCATGATAGATGGGCGCATAATGAGAGAGTGGGAACTTAGGGAGAGAAAAATTTCATAAGTTCGAAGTTTGAATGCTTTCTCTGCAAAAACATTTGGGTAGGCACAGCAATCCGCAACCAAATTTTCTCAGTTGTCTCTATGGAAAGTTTCTCACTGTTGGAATATGTTTGTGTGTGTGTGTGTGTGTGTGTGTAAAGATATATACCTGTGTTTCGAAGGTTTGTCTGACGACGCCCGGTACCACATGGAGTCCAGACTGTACCTGGCAGCACACACATACCCTGGAGACAGGGAGCCCTGTGGTGGGTGTGGCTCCAAGAGTACCAGCTTCTGCAGCCGGCCGGTCACAGAGTCAAGCTCTGGCTTGTTGGACAGCAGCAGCAACTAGTGGAGAAATATATGGTGAATAATGATGGCACTATAAAAAGCATGTTCACCACCAAGAGAGAGACATATTGCTTAAGGAAAGAGAAAATGGAGAAAATGTTTCGAGAGTTGAAACACACATTTTGAATGTACTGAGAGCAGGATATCCATGGAAATCACCCACAAAAACACATAACATTCTTTTTTGAGGCTCTCTCCAACACCCAGTAGCTAACTTACAGTAAAGTTGGTGGGAGAGCAAGACCAGGTGATTTCCACCTCCACTGGCCTCCCCCTCGGTAACTCCGCCCAGTGGTTAATTACCACCACACCCCCATCCCCATGTTCGGTCCTCCCACTGTTATCGTCAGCTGACGGTGCCAGAGAGATGGGGGGAGGCGACATTGGAGGTGTTGTGGGTATTACGGATGGTGAGAAAGGAGGACTAGATGTAATGAGGGGGGCAGACGAGGAGGGGGAGGGTACCAGATGACCAGATTTCACTGCCGCAGAGTCGGCCTCTTCGGGAGACGCCACATACGGAACCCCATCCCTAATACACTCCTTTGGCGAGTGCACGAGCTCCATCTTGCCGCCTCCTCCTCTCCCAACAGGCACAGTCACCGGCTGCTGGAATTGAGGGGAGCCTTGTTCAGATCTGTCAGACTCCGTGTTACTACTACCGCTTGTCTCGTTGAGAGTGCTTATGGAGGAAGACTCAAAACTGTCATCTTTCACCTGAAGAGTGTACATCTGGACACCAGTGCACGGTTTACCGCCAGTCTTCGACTCGGTGGTCTTTTTGGAATCAGGATTATTCTGAGGGTGGTGTGTGCTGGTACCGTTGGAGAAGGTCTCCGTTATGCTGGGAGCCTGGGATTGAGTACCGACAAAAACTGCGTCGGATACGGTCTCGGTTGAAACGTTGCCGAAAACAGGGACCGAGGAGACGCTGTGACTTCTCGGATGAGCAGCTGCCACTCCGTGACGACGGTCGGTGAGCTGCTCGGCACTCGAGACAGAGCTGGAGGCTCTAACTGTGCTCGTCTGCTGGTGTGATGGGAGGGACTCCCTCCCCGACGACCTGCAGCAGTGAAAGGCACTAGTCTTCTCACAAACAGACAGTTTAGTTGTATTGCAACAAGGTATATATATGGACCAAGTATCACAGCTATTGTATTTACGCTGTGGTATTCTGAAAGTTATGAAAGTTCATCACCAAGGATTTCTTTCCAGGCAAGCAGCAGCAATGACAAACACGGTAATAGAGTAAACGAAGAGGAAGTTGAGAAGGCAGTTTTTTTCCTATAAAAGCCCACCACTGGAAACACAGCAGTAATGACAGGGAAAAGCACAAACATTGCTTTGCACCCACAAAGCATTAACGCTATCATAAGCTTCCACACTTCTTCCTTGCTCTGTATTCTTTGCTCACCCAAAGAGTCCAGGACGGCTGAGCATGTCATCGTTGATACACACCATCTCCTGCTCGCTGTTCTTCACGTGCAGTTTGATCACAGGGAAAGTCAGGGATGTGCCACCTCCCACCTTTACACAATAGTCTACCACCTACAGCATAATGGCACCTCCAATAACAGACACTGTACATACAGTGGAACCTCTGATAAGGCACTCTCAAAGATAGGGACGACCTCTCTACAAAGGACACTTGTTTCAACCCCATGCTAATAATTTAGTGTATTATTTGACCTCGACAGCCTCTATGCAAGGGACCAAATCGTTTGCCCATAGTGTCCCTTGTTCACAGGTTCAACTGTATTGCCCACACACACACATTCACACTACATCACACTGTACATTCTGGCCCACCTCTAAATTCAGTTCATCGACTTGGATATAAGGTGCAAGAAAGTCTATTGCATCACTGGTCCATGGACCCTGTAGTCACGGTTAATGACTCGTATGATTGTAATATAATTACAGCGTGAGCCTTACCTTAGGAATTCCGGCCATGGTGCACTTGACTATCTGTGAAACACACAGTATACAGCATAGAGCATGTGTATTTTTCTCTTACAACATAGTGTAAATTTACCTGAGGAGGAAGAGAGAAGAGAGCAGTGTCCAACTTGGGCCTCAGACATGTGTTGTCCACTTCCTCCTCGTTACCATAGTCCACATATTCCACCAACACCTGTATGGTATACATGTAGTACATTCAACCATTATTGGTGTCCAAATTAGAGATGTTCCGCTGTATTTATGTATGGCTTCCTTCTATGTTTCTATGTTTCTATGTTGTGTGCATGTGTGTGTGGAGCAGTCAGTTTTACTACAGCTGGGCTGGAGTCCGCAGAGAATCTCAGAGCAAGTAAAACAGGCTGCCGTTAACGAGAATGAGAACATCTATGGCACTATCTATGCCGGTCTAGGAGATGGGTAACTAGATGAATGGCAAGCATTTTTTGGAGAAATTTGGGCGAGATAGGGATATGTGCAGCGAGATAGAAGATTATACTATTCCATACTCCAACTGTAGTCGATTTATTAAGGATAGTTGGGTTTGTCTCTTTTTCCATTCTTGTGTCTACAACAATGCAAAATCGCTGACACCCTTATTTAGGGGGGGGGACAGCAAAATTTGGGCACGATAAGGGATAGGTGCACGAGAAGAAGAGATTATACTATTCCATACTCCAACTGTAGTCAAAGTATTAAGGATAGTTGGTTTGTCTCTTTTTCCATTCTTGTGCCTACAACAAATGCAAAATCGTTGACACCCTTATTTAGGGGGGACAGCAAAATTTGGGCAAGATAAGGGATAGGTGCAGCGAGATAGAAGATTATACTATTCCATACTCCAACTGTAGTCAAAGTATTAAGGATAGTTGGTTTGTCTCTTTTTCCACTCTTGTGCCTACAACAAATGCAAAATCGTTGACACCCTTATGGGGCAGCGAAATTAGGTGAAATAGGGATAGGTGCAGCGGGATAGAAGATGCTACTATTCCAACTGTAGTCAAAGTTTTACTTTACCTTCTGTTGTGGCAGTTGTTTCAGGACCTTAACTCTGTACCACGAGTGGTCCAGTCTATACTCTGAACAGTAGACCCCGCCCACCACCACCTTGATTTCCCACACTCTGCTGACGTTTGAATATCTCTCCTCGATCTGATTAGCTAGTTCCTCCAGCTTGGTGAGACCGGGGCCCACTACTTGTATCGATAGCTGACCGTGCTCATCCACGTCTGCTAGTTTTACAGCCACCATCGGCTCTCCAGGCTTGTTGGGGTAGAGGGGTGAATTTTGTGGGGAAGAGGGAGAGGGGGAGGGTATAAATGGGGCAAGAGAGGGGGAGGGTATGAATGGGGCAAGAGAGGGAGATAAGGAGGAGGAGAGGTGAGGAGACAGCAAATGAGAGAGATGGGGAGGGTGGATGGGAAAGAAAGAGAGTGGAAAAGAAGAAAGATTGGAGGGGAAGAAGGGAGGGGAGAGAAGTGAAATGGGCGTTAGCTACGTAAGAAGACAGTGTCCTCACTTCCGGTAGCTGGGGAGACAGGGATGCGATGGGATGAAAGTTTGTTATAAGTTTACTGTTGATAGTCTCATCATCATCCAGTTCTGTGTCCAGGATCTCCACAGATGCTCTGGCCCCAGAACTACACACAACAGAGTATGCTGAAGTTGGCATACCACTATATAGACTCTGTATGCCTTTGTCCTAATTTGAAGCCTTGGCTATATAATTGCACAATGAAATATTTTTTAAAACTTCGTTGTTATGAAAATTTGCCACTATACGCCAGTGCAAGGACACAACAAATAAGCATGTATGTAGAAAACGAGTCTTACCAGTCCACCACTTGGAGGGCACATATCTTGTCCGCCGCCAGATCAGCAAAGAAGTCGTCGACCTCGGGACCCGTCATCTTTTCCTCCCTCAACACACCGTGCAGACTGCAGTGGATGGCCTGAAACAGACGAGTGAAGAGATATACATCATACTGCAGAACTGACCTTAGCTAAGGGGATGTGGGCGGTGGCTAAATTTAGAATACTGAACACAGGAATCTAACTGCATTGTTTAGCTCTATCCTTTATAAATGTAGCCCTACAGTGCCTTGAGATCTCTTTGGTATTGTGCACATTGTAAGTACATGTATGCCTACTGTTGTATGTATGTACATGGAGCAGAAGCAAAATCTGATTCTGATGGAAACGATTCACAATGAATTGTGGATGCACATTTGACAAAGCGTGAACGAAGGTGAATACGTATGTGTGTATGTGTGCATAATTGCATCATGGTAGATTCTCTAACTTGAAAAGGCAACTGATAGAACTGTGAGGGTAGGGTGCAGAGTTCGCTGACGGCCACACGCTCCTGGTTTCCATAGTCTGGAAACAAGACATTTGCCTGCAAGGGAATGACACACATCAGTCACGTAAATGGCATATAATTTTTTAATGGTTACTAGAACAGCAAGTACACTAAATCACCCATGCAATCCTGAAAGGCATGTTTGTATGCGTGTGTGTGTGTGCATTGTTGGGTGGTCGTGGATTCACTTCAGTAGACTTAAAATTCCTCATACCTACTGCGATATTTAGCAGTTATTTTCATAATTGCTCCAACTGCTTTATAAAATAGGGTAGGCTATTGATCTCAGACTGTTCACTAGGGAACAAGCAGTATGAAAAGTTGCTTGGTAGCTATACTGGCCTTGGCCCTTACTAATTGCTGCCTATCATTGAAAGATGGTGCATTTCAAAGCATAAGGCACCACGATACTGAGGTTAGCTTTCCAAAAGATTCCCTGAGCTGGCAGAGTCTTGAGCAAGAGGAGAAGGATGTCCCTGCAGTTGAAGGACACAATAAGAGCCAAGCAGACGGTGTGAAATTTCAATTTGAGGATAAAGTAATCCAATGCGTTCATATGATTGTTAATACGGGTTCTTCATCAGAATGTGGAATACACCTGGAACCTGCTATAAAGTACTGCAAGAAGCAGTTGGAAGTAAACGTCACAACGGAAGAAAATATATGTCGTAAGATGTTGCAAATCACCGAAATTGAACTCGGTTTCAATCGCAACAGGCGAAGCGCTCCCAGTTGGAAGGGTACAGTAGCACAAGCCAGTGGCAAACGCCAAAGAGAAGAGGATGAGGAGGAAGAGGAGGACGGTCGCAACCCCCCAAGAGGTGGGGGTGGGGAGACACGAGCCGGTCGCAAACGCCCAAGAGATGAGGGTGGGGAGGAGTACAAATGTGAAAATGATGCATCATGTAAAGCAAATGAGTTGTGTGTATATGCACCGGGTAGCTGTAAAGACAAATCTTGCTGTTTGAATAAGTATGAGAAACAGTCTGACACAATACAAATGAAACTCGAAATGTTCGAAGTACCGAGCTTGAAGTCAAAAGGCGTTTTAGTGAGGGTATTCACACTGCCCGTTGGTCAAGGTGATTGCAACATTATCAAATGTGACGAGGGAGAGACTGCAATCATCTTTGACTGTGGTAGTTCCAATGGGAATAACAATATTTTTGTGAACAACAGACAATTGTTGCGGAAATTTTTGGAGGGTGTTAAAAACCTGACCATCTTGATTTCCCACGCAGATGCCGACCACCTTAATTTGATTGAAAAAATGATGACAGAAGACATTACTAAACACATCACCATTGACTCTATAATTGTAGGCGACAATGAAGTGGGTAAAAATTGAGTTTGAGCTTTCTTAAAAAAAGGTAGAGGTGCTTTCAAATAATATGGTTCGCAACTTTTGCAAAACAAACAAAGAAATTTCCTTTGAACTGGTGAAATCTGCAGTGACAACCAGTAAAAAGAACGAAAAAGGAATGTTAATGAAGTTGTCGTGTGAAAATTGCAAATCTCAGCTTCTGTTCCCTGGAGATATGGAGGGTGAAGTTGCCAAGGATATAGTCCGTAATTTTCCCAAATTTCTGCGATCTTCCCATTACAAGATGGCTCACCATGGTGCTAGCACACATGCCAACAGTGAGGAATGGCTCAGTGCAATTAGTCCAGTGGAGGTACACGCAAGCCACAATTACATATTTCGTCGATATCAACACCCAAGGTGTTTCGCTTTTGACTTTCTGATGAAAATTGGCAGCCTCGGAATGGCGACTAAAACCATCAGTGCTAAAAAACTCGACCATGATATTACTTGCTTTTTCGCAACTGGTACAGGCAATGATCAAATAGGGAAACATCGTGTTTACAGCACGGCACCACGCAGTGACAAGCTATGCTTGATTGTCCTGTCATTTCAACCTGGCAAAGAAGCTTCAACAGAGTATTACTGCGATGAACCCAACGAGTTTCTAAAAGTACTGAGTTAAACTGTTGTTCTCATTACTCACTGACGTTATCTAGTACGTATGCCGATCAACCCGATGTTTTACAAACATCATAGATTTGGATACATTGTTTGTAGATGTTAAAATATTATCTTAACCTCAACTAATGAGTTTTCAGGCTATTGTAACAGAAAATTTTGTTTGGGTAAAGAATTTTGACTGTAGTAGTCGTAGTGAATATGAACAGATGTGTCCACAGAATGAATGAAGAGCACTGAAGTGCAAACCCTCGGTGCACTGCACATGCGCTGGTACTGTTAATTGGTGGGCTGGGCTATATCTTACTCGTGGTCTCCACGCTAGTAGCACGCAGAGAGTCTGACACGGGCTAGCTACACTATATAGTAGATAGCATGCAGGAGTCAATACACGCCATTAGTTGTGACTTCTTGAGCCTCCAAGGTACACAGAGCGAGCAGATTAGGTCGCAGTAAGCCCAGTGTGATTATGCATATTGGCTTTTTCGCTTGTTTTCACGGCACATCTCTTGAACGCATCGTTTCAGGAAAATCACCTTTTTATTTTTCAGGTTCGCATAGTTCTGAAGCCGTTGGTATCACTCATGGGCCGCGTCGTAGCCTGTAGTGCGAGAATAGCTGCTGACAGACAGACAGACAGACAGATGGACGCCACGACCAAGTACCGTAACCCTCGCTGCGCATGCGCGACTAGGGTTAACTAGATATGATTTTCTCACAGATTTGTATTCCAATGTACGTAATTGGCGAGCATGAGCAAGCCTGCCCAGTCGTTACAACAGGCTGATCTTTTTTTCCATTTGTATCTAATAGGCTAGGATGGCTAGGCAATTACGTGTAGATACAGTTGTACACTCGCTTTCGCCCACTAGTACTATTACCATAGAGTCGTGTACACTGAGTATCAGGGCCCTGCACCACTGCCCCTCCTCCCCGTCACTCCACAGACAGGCACAAAGGTCACTCTCCTTCACTGCCACAGCTACAGTAACACAAAGTTGTATATACACAGCCATAGAGAGAAGGGACCACACTAACACTCTCTCATTTAAATACCCTCACTTGAAAAATGAAAAGCACTGAAGTGCAAACCCTCGGCGCATTGTGACACGCACGCGTAAGTAAACGCATGCGCCGTACCACTAATTGATGGGCTGGGTTTAGTTTTAGCTGTTACTCGTGGTCTCTTCCCAGCTCGCGCAGAGTCTGACGCGGGCTAACTACACTACTAGATAGCATGCGAGAGGCGATACACGCCCTGCGTTGCATCTTCTGGTGCCTCTGAGGTACGCAGAGCACGCGGATCGATCAGACCGTGGTAAGCCATCCCGTCCGTTGCCTATTTGCATATTGGCTTTTTCGCGCTCTAGCTCTGCAACGGAGCAGTTTCAGAGAAAACCCCACATATTTTCTGACCTTCATTGCCCGTTCAGTAGGTGGTATCCTTTGTGAGACGAACGAACACTCGAGAAGTGAGATGACGAGTAACAGACAGACACACAGACAGACAGACAGACAGACAAACCCAACTACCGTAACCCTCGCTGCGCATGCGCGCCGAGGGTTAACAAGCTTCCTTATTTAAACGAGAGATTGTTCACTATGCATGAGATTATACAGTGGGTAGGTTCTCACCTTTTGCAGGGTTTTTACTTAAATATTTGTTCATTTTTTTTCCATTTCGGTGAATTTCGCCCGCTCTTTGCCCTTCATGAAAAAAACAAAAACAAGTAGAGACATTAAGTGGCGTGCACTGTACAACCCTTCTAAGAAAGAGGTGTTTTCAGAGAGACTATCATGTGAAAATCACCTAGCCCGAGGATCGTGCTACAGCATACTATAAAGAGCGAGAGCATTTAGAATACTAGGAATGCGCACGCGCATATTTTGCCTCGCGCCTGCCAGCCAATGCGTAAACAGTCCGACTGAGGCCGCTCGTGCACGCGCTCTACTGACTGCGTGCGAAGCCAGACTTCCTACGAATGACGGAAGTTACACTTCCTTTTGGTGACTAATTGACATTCCTAAACGTGACTAATTGACGACGTATGCACGCATATCGCGAGAATACAACCCGGAGTAGTTGCCTCACGCTAACGCGCTCGGCAATCACGGACCAACTGCCTAACTTGAAATACACGCAAAGTGGGATTGTCAAAAAACATGAATTCTATGAGATGTAGAAGACGCAAGAGTTGAGTTCACTAAGTGTGTGTGTGTGTGTGTTAAGAAGATGGGTGTGGCTTACCCCCTCTCCGTCCCTGATCTGTACATAGAAACTGAAGGGGCTGTTTACCAGACACACAAACACCTCGTAAAGAGTGTCTGGATGCTCAAATGTCGCCGTCTCTGCCAGAAGGAGGATGCAGATAAGGAGAGAGAGAGAGAGACAAAGTACTACACACTTATGTAGAGCAAATGGTGATTGTGGAAAAAATGAAAACCTTCACTCAAAATTCAGTGTCTGATGGCCACACATCAAAGTTTTCCACAAACAATTTACGGGTGGGGATCAAAAATTCACAGATTGACTCTCAAATCATGAAGCTCATTTGACAAATCCACCATACTTTCTTCATTACAGTTTATTGTGTGTGGAAAAGACACCCCCTGGATGAAGGCCACCTCTCTAATCTGTGAAAAGGACACATTCTACTTCCCCAAGAAGAGTTCTTACGTGAACTAACCACTGAAATAAAACCTTGGTAACACTGACACATGTTTCTGTCACATTGGTGTCCGGATCAGAGGGTTTAACTGCATGGTAATAGTAATGGTATACACGTACCAGGCAGAGCGGGACGAGTGGTGGGCGGGGCAGAAGGCTGAACCGGTTGGAGCGAACCTCGTTTCCTATACTCCTTCTTCAGGTACATTATCTCATTATCCGCGGAAAACCTGTATTACCAGCCGTGAGCAGTGTTAAAATGCACAAGAAACCTCTGTGGCTACGGGGATACAAACCTCCGTACTATTTCTCTCGAAACGCTTGAATTGTGTCAATAACTTTGGCTTCAGTCGTAGAGAAATAGTACAGAAGAGTGTTAATATCATATGAACAGCCACATGTTGTCCACACATAATAATAATTATACAGCAGTTAAGAAAAAAAGAGAAGAGAAGACAATGGTCGAGTACCCCACTCAGTTCATTTCTACGTGTATTTCAAATGGATCGTCATTTTCTCGCTATTTTATCATTTGAACAGCCACATGTTGTACGACACATAATAATGCAGTTAATAAAAAAAAAATAGAAGAGAAGAAGACAATGGCCGATGTACCCCACTCAGTTCATTTATTCAAATGGATCGTCATTTTCTCGCTATTTTATCATCACTCACGTTTCTATAATGACGAAGGGGAAGTTCCTGGCCTTCTCCAGTAGGTCATCGGGAGGAGCCACCTTGAACTCATTCTGGTAGACTTTCCCCAGCCTCTTGGCATACGTACCCTTCTCAAACTTCATCAACAACTACACCACGTGAACAACATAATGTGTGTGTGTGTGTGTTGGCCATTATAGTGGGAGGCAGTTGAGACAGTGCATCTTATTGGGTTAGCTTTGTTTCAAATTTTTGCTAGTGGGTTGCGGATATGCAAAACGTTTCTCCCTCAAAATTTCCCATATTTTTCACCTTAAAGATATTTTCTTCCAGCCCAGTTACATCTGCCCCCATCTGCACGAAAATGATTTGTCATCGTTAAAGGGATGATGTCAGCATTACGTCATCACCTTTGGTGTGGTGGAGCGTGACTCTTGAGGGGAGTTGTGGGCACTGCTACCACTGCTGTTACTGCTGCCTTCAGATACTCTCTCATAGTAGAGAACCTTTCATAGAGAGAGACGGGAGGGGGTGTGGGTCAAAACAAAGATATATACAATTCCTCATTCAAACGACTAGGTGGGCTCGCTACGCTGGCTATTATTAAAGGCACATTAATCAGAATACACCACATGTAGGTATTTCAGAGATGGTCATACCCTCATAGCCGGCTCGAGCTTGTCCTTTGCCTTTATGAAAGCGGCAAATGGTTTACCATAGACCTTCAACTTTACACCCTCTGGCACATCATATGGCTCTCGATGGGTCTATAATACATTGACAGTATATAATATACAGGTTACATCATTAACCACATCGACAAACAGTGTTTTTGGAAGGCAAGTAAGTGAGTAGAGAGTAACTATTTGAACCCTACATGTGATTTTACACGTGCATAATAACCCAGTAAGTAATGAGTAGGCTTACTTTACTTGCAAACTAATTTGGTGGGGGGTTGATTTCCTTTCCGATTTTGAGCTAGACCACCAACCCTGTGACCTACTCCAACAAGTTTCTATTCAGCCTCTCCACATAGGTGATTTTTATAATGTGGCTGTAGTTGACTTGTTTGCAGCGCATGGGTCAGGGAGGGTTTAACGCACAGTGACACCGTATTGTCCATCATGATAATAATGTAATGGTGAACTGCTAAATGAAGAATGTGCAGTTAAACGTACCGAGAGGTTCCAGTGGGGAGCATAAAGTGAAGCTGGACCGCCTGAGCCCAGCCATCGGCCGTCCTCCCCTTCCTGGTGCTAAGAAGAATCTTTAACACCTTCTTCTCCATGTACATGTCCTCTCTCTGGCGACTAGCTACTCCCTCCAGACACACCTGTCACATTATGGGAGGCCAGGAAACATTAGGGAGGCCAGGAAACATTATGGGAAGCCTGTCACATTAAGGGAGCCTGTCACATAGGAGGCCATTTTACCACCTACTGTGTGTACTTTAGCTAAGTTGTGCTTAAGGCCGCAGGTATGAACCTTCTTTAAAGTGACACAACTGAGTTTTTCTAGCTGCTTTCAAGTGGCACTATTAGCTGTATACATGAGAGTACGTGACAGTGGTAGGCAATTGGTAGGCTTGTTTTACCAGCCAATTGCACTAGATTGTGCACACATACGGTGCCAGATATGGGCGTTGGTGCGTGGGCCCAGGTGTTCATCTCCTCAATGGTCATGTGACGGGCAGTACGGAACTCGTCTTTCCACAAGTCACTCAGACCTCCGCTACCTCCTCCGCTGCTATTATTGCCTCGTCCCAGTCCAGCATTAGCACTGGTTACTGGGGCAGAGGAGGAGGAGGAAGAGGAGAAGTGAGGAGAAGACCAAACCTGCTGTTTACCCTTGGCCGAAGGCAGCAGACCTGGAGGATAAGGTTAGCGAAAATTTAGAGCTTTGTTAGGAGAAAGTGGCCTAAATTTTCGTACTTTTAGCAGGCAGGTGGGGGGAAGGACAAGCCAACAATTATCCTGAATACCTCGACTTTAGGTGGAGTGTGCAGTGCAATAATCCTCATTGGTTATATATAGAGTGGCCCAAACTTTGATCACAAGGTATCGTGGATGGTTCTTGCATCCCCACCCCCCCTCCCTCCACCTGCTTGCCTAAAGTGCACGAAGTTTAGGCAACCAAATATTACTCCAACACTGCATATTCTAGCTATTATTAAGGCATTCAGGGTGGTTAGTTGGCCTGCTCTTCTCCCTGCCTGCTTGAGAAAAGTACGAAAAGTTCAGGTCGCCCTATTTTCTACCCAGCCATCCATTTTCCACTAGAATTCCTTGATGTTTAACAACAACTAAACATTCCCCTTGCCCCCTTCACCAACTCTGAAACACGTGTAAACGCAAGGGCTCACTGGTCAGGGTGTGTTGAGGGTGGAGTCTATTTCCACTGTTCTCTGGTACAGAGTTCAGTCTGGGTCTCGTTGCCCCTCCGCCCGGCTGCAACGTCGCAGCCGCCACGCCCGGGTGTGGTCTGGAAGAACCACGAGAGACGTTTGAGGAATATACAGGTGGTCCAGAGAACGGGTGGTTGTAGGTGGCCGAGTGATGATGCTTCTGCAATCTCGGTGGAACGTTAGGATATGTACCTGCAGTCATACACACACCATACATTATGATCAACTTGTGCTACTTGTGTGAGCTCAATCCTGCATGCACTGCACGCAGGATTGTGCATTTGCACAATTCTCACAATGTGTGCATCAAGAATTAACATTTTCATTTCAGGGAGCATGTAATTTTTACATACATTGGAAAGCATTTGAGGCGAGTTCTAAAAAAGGTCGATAAAAACTGCACTGATTACTTATTCTGCGCAGGAACAATGGTCCTGCAGGAGAGGGTCGTGGAGAAATATAATTATAACAGGTATTCCTAAACCATGAACTTCTATATTCCTCGATCGTTTCCCACTGTGTGACGCATGCATTTAGCCTCACCTGGTTGGCTATAAGAACGAGGTTGATTATGATACTTGGCTGGAGAATATGGTGGAGGGTTACAGCAAGGAAGGGAACAAGGACGTGGTGAAGGAGGGAGAGGGCGGGGTTGATAATAAGGAGGGTGAGGGAGAAGACAAGGGGGAGGGAGGGGAGAAGGGGGGTAGAATGAGGGAGGAAAGGGCCGGGGTAAGGTAAATGGTGGTCGCGTGTGATACAAATTCACGTGATCATGTCGGTAAATGGAGGGGTTACGGTGTAGATTGAACGAACGTGAGACAAAGTGATCAGAGGGGTTATGGTATACATTGGGCGAATGCGATACAAAATGATCAATGGAGTGATTGGTTGGAATCAAGTAGTGATTGTGTGCCAGGCAATGAGATTCAAAATAGGCAGGAGGTGGATCCGGTGGACATGTATGGAGACGTGAGGAGTATTGGTGGTGGTTGGGAGAGTCAGGTTCAGGGAAAGGGAGCGAGGGGTCACGTTGTTGGCAGTTGATTGGCGGTCGAAGAGAGAGGTGGTGAGGGTGGGGAGCAGAGGAAGGGAGTGTGGGAGGAGAGGGGGGAAGATAGGGGGGAGGCAGGGAAGGCAAAAGTAAGCCTGTAAGAGAGCCAGATATACACATACTGTGCCCAAAACTGCAACAACATCTTAATATGAACTACTAGCTAATTATGTACTTACATACACTGATAATGCAGAGTCAAACTTGGCAAAACCATCCACATTAAAAATCCACTGCCTATACACATACACACAGGAGAGCACTAACTTTAACTTTACGTATGTATCTCACTACACTGATGCACACTCAATAGGACGTCAGCTAACCTTGGTGCCTGTTGCCACCCATGCCACCACGAGGAGTGAATCGAGCGCCGTGGCCACCTCTTCGCGAAAACGACGTCATCTTAACCGGAGTCTTTCTCGACACAATGGCCGACGGAATAACGGCTTTCTTTATCGACGGCTTCCTCTGCTTCTTTATCATGTTCACTATGTGCTGAGTCTCTTTGGTGGCGACGGGGTAAAACGTAACCAGTCCAGTCGGGCCCGTTCCGATCCGCACGACATCGGGAATGGAGAAGACAAACGTATCCACTTGCCGATACCCAAGCTCGCGTAGTGGGATCTCTTTCCCATTCATCTGCCTATAGTCTTTGGCAAAGATGTGGGCGGGCACCCCGAGGGGTGCAGATATGAGCATAGCCCGAATGTCTTTTTTCACTTTGTCCAGCAATTTTTCCCGATCCATTAATGGACCTCCTTTTTTGCAGCTTTTCCCTTAAACGGGCAAAATGTTTTTTAAAGTCTTGTTAATTCTGCCCTCCACTCACTGCTGCTTAAAAATGTTTCAGCAGCCAAGCTAGCTGTTGATCCCAGCTGCTTCTGGAAGTACAGAAGTCAAGCTATAAATGCAGGGACAGTGTGCTCTCTCCAAATGGTTTTGGGGACAGGTGGGATCATCTTACACTGGGGCGTTACCTCGTAATAAACGGAGGGGTGGTGCTGCTGAATATGTGCGCACACAAACCCACACACTAACAAGGCGTGCCCCAGGGAATTCGTCCGCCAAAAAGGCTACAGCGGCTGTGTACGTACACGCAACTCACCCGTCACCCTCCCTCTCCTGCTGAGACTCCCAGAGCCTCGGCTTCCCGAGCGGCTAGCTTCGTCTAGCTAGCTCCCGACCCCTTAATTTTGTTGTGTCTCACGTGACGCACACGTGTTTCTTATATATGGACACACGTACACACACCGAGATTACAGGGTTAAATCATAAATCGCGCTCGGGTCAAAATCCGTCCACGCATCAGCATGTCAAGAAGGCAGAAAAGAGAACGAGCAAAAGGTGATTGTTTCTCTCTAGTAGAACCAATAGTTTTACTGATAGTGACGTCCGACAGAGTACGGCTCGTCTTACTTCCAACCAGACGCCAAAAGGGCTAGCAGAGAGGGCTCGGCTAGAGAAGTAAGTGCCACACAAACAGACAAAGCCGTGTAGTTCCTTACAAAATGCAACGTTATTCCTCCTCTTTAGGACACTCCTGCATACAATGATGGTCCCACTACTGATAAATGTCCGTGTTATATATCCCTTTACCGGAGCCACTCATTGTTTATTGGATATGTATATATAGTGGTTATTCCGAACGCTGCGTCGAAGACAGGGGACAGTGCTGTAGTGGCACCGACGGTAAGTAAACAAGCAATATGTACAACACCACCGTATGCCAGTCAGTATATTTAATAATGCACTGCTATTGTAGGACGAGTTTGGAGCCAAGGACTACACAAACATACTGAGTCTCAAGTTGGACCACAGCTCAAGGCCAATTTGGGTGGTGAGAAAAACGTGCAGCTGAAAATTTTCGAGGGAGTCTATTGTTGTCCTGCTAGCCACTTCCTATAATAGTTGTAGATAGACATTTTTCCACAGTTGTGCAACTAGAGTGTTTTTTTTGCATGTCATGCTCTGCTCCCCAGGCTCCAGACGGACATATCTTTCTGGAGGCCTTTTCTCCAGTCTACAAACATGCCAGAGACTTTCTCATTGCTATTGCAGAGGTACTGTATATAGACATACATACACAACACCTGACACACTGTACAGTGTATATTAACACTCTGGTTTTGTGAGCTTTTAGTGTCAGTTATTGTGTGTGCTGCTCTCTATTTTATTCACAGCCAATATGTCGACCTCAGCACATACACGAGTTCAAGTAAGTGTCCCTTTACCAAGATATCTTTGATCCTAACTCCCCTGCTTTGCCCCCAGGCTAACGGCCTACTCACTATACGCTGCTGTGTCTGTTGGACTTCAAGTATATTTGTGCACCTGTCATTGTGGCTATTTTACTATCGAGTTATCTCTTTGTCTGCCGCAGACAAACGATATCGTAGAGTACCTGAAGAGACTCAGCAAAACGACCATCCCTGACGGCATCATCAAGTTCATCGAGGTTGGTATATACAACTCTCCACACGTTACAATCTGTGTTGAGCCTCTCAGAATTATACATACTTGTTTCCGACAGGACTGTACCCTGAGCTATGGGAAAGTGAAGTTGGTACTCAAGCACAACCGATACTATGTCGAGAGTGCCTTCCCTGTGAGTCTCCACTTGTAAATAGTTTTCCCCCCGCAAAATGTTCCCCTCTCCTTATTTGTACATATATACATGTGTCTCGTGTCATGTAAACTGTATCATTTCTCTAACAGGAGGTAATGCAGACTCTGCTTAAAGATCCGGTGGTGCAACAAGCAAGGTATCACAGGACCCAGCGTGGTAGTCGTCTATGTGTCCATTCCCATTCCCCCATTCCCCCAGACTGGTACCAGATGAGGAGGAGAAGGAGGAGTCAGACCCCATGACCAGTCTACTTGTTGGAGACACTACTAAGAAGCCTCCCTTACTTGTAAGTGGGTAAACGAGTATATGCATGCATCAGAGATTTTTGTAGAAATGTCTCCAAGGAACTTTTAAAAGGGACCAAAGAGTGTTCTTTGTCATTGCCGGTATATTGAAGTATTTACAACAGCATAGAAACAATTTTACAGTGGCTCAATTATATCATTTTGTCTCCTCTTCCTTTCTTGAAGTTTGGTGCAAAGAAAAAAGATCAAGGAGGAGACGGAGGCAGTCAGGTGAGTGTTTGTCACGTGAGGGAGAAGGTATGAGACTAAGGTCGTGGAAGTAATAGAGATATGAAAATGAGATTTAGAGAGGTACAGGCAAGGAAGTGGTGTCTGTCAGCTTATCTGCAAGTTTGTGTTTGTGAATCCTTCGACGCTAATTGAGTGATTCATTTTGAGCGAGTCGTTTCAGGAGAGTGAAGGAGCCCAGCCATCTGTCCCCTCTGACCTCTATGACTACCTGGAGAAGATGGACATGGAGGAGGAGGAGACAGAGGAAGAGGTGAGGGGGGGGAGCTGGATTAGCGTCATCCTCACGTGGTGTTCTTGCAGGCAAAGACGTGGTCGTTTGAGATCAACCAAGAGTATCTGGAGACACTGCAGAGAAGGTGATGGATGCATCCAGCATGCAGGAGCCAGTGTGTAGAGTTGTACATGTACATGTAGTTTGGTACGTTCTCATGAGTATAATGTGCAAAGTCTCAAGGCAAAAGAGAAGCAGTGGTTAATGCAAAACATGCACTGTGTTAGAATGGGCAGGATCATGTATTATAGTGGGTTGTAGTGTGTGGTGTTTTATGGTCTTGGTGGGATGTAGTAGCTGTTGCTGTTGTTGCAGGTGTATTGAGATGGAGTACCCTCTACTGGCAGAGTATGACTTCAGGAATGACACCCACAACCCAGATATCGTGTGAGGGACACCTTGTGTAGTACATCACCTAGAATTGCATGTGAGGGGGTTTTGCATGAACCATAGAGTGTTCGCATAGCATAGCACTGCAGTTGTAGACCACTCATCCAGAAACTATTAGCGTTGATGCAATGCAAAAACTATTGCAATCCCTGGACAACACTTGTTGTTTTAAACCAGAGAACTCTTCATACCGGGCAGCTCGACAGGCAATGTACTATACAACACAGAGAGCACGGTGGGTGGCGCAGAGAGTTGTTGTGTAATATGTGGTAATGGCAGGCAAATGAGCTACTGTTCCGACTTGCGTGCTTGTACTCAACTAAAATCTTTTCTTCCGCACAGGATTGACCTGAAGCCTACCACCATCCTCAGACCTTATCAGGTGAGCTTTTGCACCTGCTGGTGTGTGGTGTGTAATGGTGGATCGCCGCTACTCAGGAGAAGAGCCTGCGTAAGATGTTTGGTAACGGGAGAGCCAGATCAGGAGTCATCGTACTGCCGTGTGGTAAGAACCATTTCTCTTTCATCCTACGTATATACGTATACCCACTATGTACAAGGGACTATACTCACACACGTGTGCACTCTAACACACACGTGGATGGTGCCACTAAGAGACTACACTTTTCACATACTGGGGGTTAACATTGATGTAACATACACTAACATGTACCTATGATATGCAGCAGTACACCGACATATGTACATGTGTGTGTACGTATATTGTGCTGGTTAAAAAGATTTTCACTTGCTGCTGGTGGTCGTGATTACGCAGGTGCCGGCAAGACTCTGGTTGGAGTGACAGCTGCCTGTACGATCAGAAAGAGGTGTCTGATACTCTGTACGTCAGCAGTAGCCGTGGAACAGTGGAGATCCCAGGTAACCAATAGTAAGTACTCCATTATTTCAGGGTTTTAATGGATACGTATATATGCACATTAGTTCAAGCTGTGGTCTACTATTGATGAGAGACTGGTGTGCCGTTTTACATCCGATGCCAAAGACAAACCATCGCGTGAGCCTTGGGTCTTTGCACCCCTCCGAATGCCGTATCTAAGATGTTGTGTGGTGTATATGTGTATATAACTTGTGTGGCAGTTCGTTCTTCTTCTTCGTGCAGCTAACACTGCAGTGGCCATCAGTACATACGCCATGGTGGCCTACACCCAGAAAAGAGCTTGGGACTCACAACAGGTGTACATACACACTACATACATACATACTGACAATGGTGTTTGATCCATTTACCACCTCCTGCTCCATTTTCTCCATAGATGATGAACTTCCTGCAGCAGCAAGAATGGGGCCTCATGATCTTGGATGGTACGTGCAGAACATTGTACACTCTATATAACGAGCAACAAGATAGTAATAATATTGTTCCCTGTCACAGAGGTCCAGACTATACCGGCTGACAAGTTCAGACGAACACTTGCAGGTAATTTCTGTTTCGGTATGATATATTGGGCATGGTCATTGTCAAATGGCTAAAAAAATATGACTCTTTCACTTTCAACAGTGGATGAAAACTTTGTGATTATATCGATTTTTGCGGAAATAACTTTTGCAGATAAATTTTCCCACTGTACAATATCTGTGAAATTCAGTGTTACACACAGCTATGTACCACACTGTTGGTCCATGTCATGTATGTAGTGGTGCAGGCGCACACCAAGCTGGGGCTGACGGCCACTCTTGTGAGAGAAGACGACAAGATCCAGGACCTCAACTTCCTCATTGGACCCAAACTCTACGAGGCCAACTGGATGGAGCTCCAGAACAATGGATTCATCGCCAAAGTCCAGTGTGCCGAGGTCTGTCGTTATTACAGTCTTTCCAGAGTATATACATACGTAGTATAATGCAGTTTAGCCCCTCTAATCCAGACACCAATGGGACAGAATAAAGTTCCATATGAGTGAGATGCCTTTTCATTTCCAAGTTCTTCTTTCATGGAACGGTTCTTTGGGAAAGAAAAGGTGTCCTTGTGTCTGGGAGAGGGGCTCCACTTCAACTTGAATGTTTTGGAGGTTTAGGTATATAGCCTGCACCAACGAGAGCCCATGAGTCTCATGAGACTACACCGTCTCTATATTAGTATTGTATTGACTCTGCAGGTGTGGTGCCCCATGACGCCCGAGTTCTACAGCGAATACCTCAAGATCAAAACCAGACGAAAGAAAGTATGCACTCACCCTCTTTATAGTATACAGTGTATACTTCATATATCGTCAAAATATATATATATACTGTTTTTCCCCACTGCAGTTGCTGTATGTCATGAACCCCAACAAATTCAGGGCTTGTCAGGTAATTACAGTACTACTGCTTCCTGTCACGTGACCTAAAACCACACCCACCTCGTTACACAGTTCCTGATGAAACATCACGAGCAGCGCAACGACAAGATCATCATTTTCTCTGACGTCGTGTTCTCTCTCAGAACTTACGCCAAGAGACTCAACAAGTGAGATTGTCACACACAAGCACACACACTTCACCACCAAATGAATCAGAACATCGTGGTCCCTTATCTTGCATACATACATTTTATGTGAGCTTCATGCAATATCTGTTCTATGTCATTCATGAGTGTACCCCTTGTTTTGGGTAACCACACACCTACTATACTGAGGATTGTTTTGGTTACCCACAAAACCAAAAACGATATATACAATTCCTCTTTTTCTTGACCCCCCATGGATGGCCATCACTCACGATGTATGTATACAGACCATTTATTGATGGGCAGACAAATCAGCAAGAGAGAATGAAAGTCTTACAGAACTTCAAGCACAATCCACTCATCAACACCATACTAATCTCAAAGGTTGGCCCCCCCTATAACTAGCTATAGATTAACGATAGAGTTGGGTTGTTCTCTTATTTAGGTTGGAGACAATTCGTTTGATTTGCCGGACGCCAACGTGTTGATTCAGATCTCAGCTCACGGAGGCTCAAGAAGACAGGTTTTTACACAGTATATAGACACAGTATGAGGTTGCCAGTGTATTATAGGCAATGACCACTGGCAGTAGCACTACTGTGGTACAGGGATGGGGAATATACCTGCCTTTGTCTGAGATTTGTGCAACTTTAACTCGGTGCTTGGTGCACTGGGCTTCCAGTCACTCCCAACGCGGGAGTTTGACTCCCGGCAAAAGTTGGTTCTTTCTCTTTCCCTTCTGATCTGTGAAAATTTCAACATCCTCCAGACATTACAAACGTGTGTCTGACGGGTTTTATAACTATCCTTGTTTGCAGGAAGCGCAGCGATTGGGACGAATCCTGAGAGCTAAGAAAGGTGGGTTTTTCTCAAAGCTTCCACACCTATGTATCTATGTATGTGTGTCAACTATGAGGTAAAAAGGCAGAGGCAAAGCAAACATATCAACTCTACCCAGGACACCTGTTTTTTCCAAGGAAACTGAAGAGGTGTCCTTGATGGGATTAGAGCCCACCCCACTCACTCTGTAGGCTGTACCAACTATGAACATTGTTTTCTTCAATGCAGACTCAGTGGCTGAGGAATACAATGCCTTTTTCTACACTCTTGTATCTCAGGTATATAGGGATATGCTCAGGGTTTGAACACCCTCAGTATTGAAAACATTGCTGGGCATGCCTCCCCACCCTTCCAATGACAGATGCAAGCAAAATGCTGAAATAAACACTGTATGCGTATGCATTTCTGCAACTCTTGCCTGTCGTTACCTCTAGGACACGGAAGAGATGCACTTTTCAACAAAGCGACAGAGGTTTTTGGTGAACCAGGGATACAGCTTCAAGGTATGTATACACTGTACAACTAGTGCAGTGTGTGTGTATGTGTGCACATCTTCACGTCTGCAGGTTGTTAGTAAACTTGGAATTGAGGATGTGAGTCCAGCCAAAACCCACACTCTACTGACTGCGTGCATGTACAATTTCCCTCCCAGGAACCAAGTTTGTCGCTGTCAACCAAAAAGGAACAAGCAGAGCTTCTACAAGAGGTACATAGAGTCCCAATCTCCCACAGCAGATATAGAGCACCCTGTAGAAGTACACACACTTTTGGCTAAGTATGTTATATGTACTCCACGCAGGTCCTGAGCGCCAGTGATACAGATGCAGATGAGGAAGGCACTGCAGGAAAACAAGGCTTTGTAAGTAAGAGGTCTGTCCCTATCAGTATCCCCCATAATTACATTGTGTGTATAATTCAACCCCCCTGGAGTACTAGGTCATCCCTCCACTCAACAGTTGTTTGTCTGGAAAAGTGTATATATATACAGAGAGTGGCACATTAGCTGACAATTAAGTATGGAGTAGAAACTTTACTGCATGGCCCTTGACCCTGAACCCCTCTTGTTACTCAAGCCACCAAGGCAGGTGCTTTGCTGCTGTGTGGCCAGTCCTACTAGAGACCATTGCAGCAGTTGAAGTTTCTCACTCGGGCATACCAGCTGCATCATGTATCTTGCATCTACCTCTATGTATATACCACCACAAACAAGTACATAGATAACACACTACCAACACGTGCAGCAGGTTGGAGCTGGCAGTGGTGTGAGTCGAAGAGCTGGGTCCATGGCCTCCATGTCTGGAGGAGACGACATGGTTTACATGGAGTATCGGACCAGCCGGCCCCAACATCCCCTCTTCAAACTAAGAAAACACTGAGTTTCTTAAGAAATCATCAGCTCCTAATTTTATTATTAATGCGTGGTTTTAAATTTACTGGGAATTAAGTTGCAAAAATTGTTTTTGTAAGATCATACAGTGTGGAGAGCAATAAACAGTTTCAATGACGGCATAGTGCCTCTCTGTCTATGAGTGGAACATGTGTTGTTGGTTCACACAGTCTCTTGCAAGACACTTGATGGTCTCCACACTCTCGGTTTCTTTGTCCTGCAGCCGTCGCCAGACACGTGCAGCTAGCTTTTGGACGACTGTCTGACTTGGGTTCTGTAAAGAAGGAATCATTCATCAGTCCACTGACTTAACACACCTTCATGAGCTGAATTTGCAGTGGTTGGTGTGTGAGAGTTTGCATGCATAATAAATTTCAAGTATGTCAATATCTCATGTTCAGTTATGTAATCATTCATAATTGAGGCTTGCATTCAGTTTGGTCTAATGTATGGCTGGCTCTCGATGATGACAATTTTTGCCCGAGATTTACATTGTAACAGAGAAGCCAAAGCACCCTTGACCCAATTTTTTCCGTAACAGTTACGAATATACCTTTACTTCCTCAGTTTCCTGCACCATCTATATATAGGGAGGGAATGAGGGGAGAAGAGGCAGGGAACTTTTTAACTCTGACTCGTCACTAATTATTTACAGCAGCTTACCATCGCTGCCTCCTTCAGTACGTGTACAAAGCACGGTCTGTAGCGAGCAGAGAAAGTAAGAAACGAGTTGGGCGCCTTCCTTTTCTTCCTGACTGGCGTGTGTCCAACTGGTCGGTGGTAGATCCGTTTTCTTCCGCCACATTTTCTTTCCAATTCTTGAAGAAGGAGTCTTGTCTTCGATACCGTGAAGGCTTCGGTAAATCTTTTTTTCTTGTCACTTTCACTAATGAGGTTAGACCTCTTCAGCAGAGACTCCAGCTGCAAGGAGATGAGTCAATAGCTCACTGAGAAATACAGCAGTAGCTAACAGTGACTTACTTCTTCGAGCAGCTTCTTCTTGCACCTCATGCGTTCTCTTTCCTTCTTATTCTTCGTACGCTTGGAGCTGTTGGGGTAGAGAGTATAAAAAAATTGTGCCCATTTTAAATTTTGGTCCTCGGCAAGCAGATACTTATCCTCACACTTCAACACCCGGGCAAGCAGATACTGTCAGTCACACACGTTACTTCCAACACCCAGGCAAGTAGATACTATCCCTCACACACATTACAGATACTATTGGCACTATATAACTTCAACACCCTGGCAAGCAGATACTTATCTCTACAACACCACACCAGGCAGGGAGTCCACACAATGGCTCACCAGCCTTCCTCTTCCCTCCCAGTGTGGGGGTCTTCTTCCCAGTGCTCTTCCCAGTCACTCTCAGTATCTGGCTCCCTAGTTAAATCACCAAGACCCACAAGTAAATAAACCGGCTAGCGATTTTAGAACTTCTTACCCTGAGTCTTGTATTTCCTCTGCCTCCACATCGTCTTCAACTGCCACAGAGGTAAAGTCTGCAACGGCAAATTGCTGTAAGGCAGCCGCCCTATATAGTACTACAATTTTTAACGCAGGTGTACAGCTCCCTAGAGGTTAGTCCGGACGACAGCGCCGGTGTCAACAAAGCGCCGATGCCGCAAGCCACGAGATAGTATATGCGAGCCCAGCTTATCTAGCAAATCACGTACCGGCGGCTAGCTATTGCCACCGCCCCTGAGCTAAAATAAACGTTCCCTACCATAACGCAGGTGTACCGGTCGCGGCACGTACGTATATACGTAACCGACGAGGCGCGAATGCTCACCATTTGAAGATATGAGACTCTGCCAGTCTGCAGAGAATATATAGAATCGTAATACGGTACATTGATATCGAGTTGCAGGCGTACCATCGTGCGTCCAGGCCCAGTCCAACGCACTGTCCATCTTTTGCATCGGCGTGCAGCGTGTCGTCGCGGTGCACCAAGCTTTTTCCCTCTGGTTTGAAAATCCAACACACCTAAAACAGCAGTGTAGAATTCCGCTGATGACACTTACTACTTGCGTCGCTCTGGTCGTCGCTCTGGTCGGACGGCTCCTAGACCGGAGACGGGGATATGCTGCTGAGCGCGCCAGCCGGACGGTCGACCGAGGTGCTCCGTATATTATATTGCGATTTTAGGCCACGCGCGCGCAAACCTCCGCGTGTATCGCGCATGCGCAATTAATACCCCTCCGCGCATAATAATTATAATAACCCGGCCCCCCGGCCCAAAACGGCAATAGACGGTCGCGGTCTACTCGTCTCTACACTTCTCTGCCAGTTAGCTATTGGAAACTAGTGCCGCTTCGTGCTCCACAAAAATCTACTCCGTGAAAGAGTGTATAGAGGCCATAATGGCAACGTCACAGTCAGGCGGAGGGGATAGCAATCCACCGGTGTTGAGTTATGACTATCAGTGCGAGAGCTGCAGTCACAAGTGGCAAGATTTGTCGCATCAAGAAATCGGCCTAGTGTGCTCCAAATGCCAAAGTTCCCGGATCCGTGTGCCCAGCAAGCGGGGAACCTACAAGTACAAATGCGAGAAGTGCGATATCAAGTGGAAGAAAAAGAACTCAATGGGTGGGACCTCGTTTTGCCCAAAATGCAAAAGTGGGATCCCCACTTATCCGTACAAATTCAAGCCAGATGTAAGTTTCATATTAGCTATATAATAGTGTAAAGTGAATGACAATTGGCTATTGCTAAATACTACACACAGGCGCCAAAGAGAATGTTTGGAGAGTTTACCTGTTCAGCGTGTGACCGTTCATGGAAAAGCGGGAATGCCTGGGAGGGACGCAAGCAGCAGTGCCAGGATTGCTCGACTTGGAACCTGCCAGTGACCCTCCGGCCGCTAAGACCACCTCTACACTTCCGCGCTATCCAGAAACCTCATCCAGAGGACAAGTGTGAGCGATGCAAGGAGCTTGGGTACAACTGCCGCAGTGCTCCGACTGCAGCTAGCACCGAAGCGGAGGACGAGAGCGTCATTTCTACCAGTGACAGCAGTGTTGTGATGCCCTCCAACGACAGAGAGGGAAGCGATGTAACACCCGTGCCCAGCGATCACGGCTCTGATGTCGCGGATATTGACGAACTAGTTGATGAGCTAGAGGAGCTTGAGCTCCAATAAGCAACTCATAGGCACACACACACTGTGCCTTTGTTGTGAATGTTTGCTTTGCTTTTGCTTTGCTTTTGCCTTGCTTTCAACATCACATATAATTAGTATATGGGTGTACCCTACAATGAGTTGTACACAATTATGACAATGGTACTGGTGCTAATCTAATTGCTATAAACACGTGTGAAATGCATTAGCCACAAGCAGATTCTCTACACACGTGCATTTTAAGCTAATGCGTTTCCGGTGAGTTGTAAAAAGAAATTCCCTGCTGTGTGTTTAACACTACCGCAAAATGATGTATAATATACTTCAAAATCTGCTTGACTGTAGTATGAATAAGACTTTTGCTGGAAAGTATTACAGACATCAGCTCACAGCCACAAAACCTGTTTAAGCTGTGAACCTCAAGAAAACACTCACACAGAAAGATTCTATAATACATCAGTAGGCTCTAAGTGTTCTTTGCTAGCTCGATTGCTAGTTCGAGTGCATGTTTAGCACTGTGGGTTTTCTCCAGCCACTCAATGGGGATGGAGCTCAGACCACAATGAGAGCCCAGGCAAGCTCCTACTAGACCCAGCCTGGAGCAGTTGCAGCCACCAGCCACCATCACCTCCCTGACAGTGGACACATAGTCCACGGCCCTCACCAGAGCATGCACGGCAGCCTGGAGAGAGCCTGGTATGTCTGGCAGAGATAGAGGAGAGAAGAGAAGAGTCACCTCATGTAGTGGGTTCAGGGGAACTTCATACACTGTCATTCACACACAGGGTCATGGACAAGTATGAATATCAGAGGATCATATCTCCTGGAAGAACAATGAAGGTTGGTGCTTTATTCATAGTTCCTGGCACCATAGGCTGACCCAAGCCAGAACATCAACATTTCCAGGAGCATGCACACAGACACAATAGCTCTAAACCTACAAACAACAGTGTCTCATTAGTTAAACTAATACCTCATGCCTTCCCAAACTTTGTAGTGGCAGACTGGACGTCCAAATTCTTGGCATCCAGAGCTGCCTGGAGATGGCCAGCTACTGCCAGATCGAGAGGCTGTGGGTGGACACGTGACGAAGACTTGAGCTCTCCTATGACGGAATTCAGGTGGTCCTCGATGCTCAACTCTCCGTGGAGAATAAAGCTCTCCACGATGCGGCACGCAGCGAGGATGATCGTGATGATCATGTCGTTGGCTTGTAGCTGCTGAGCTGCATGCTCTGCAGTCTCCAGCATGTGTGGTGTCCCGGCATACAGAGCCACTAGCGCAATGAGCCGAACTATGTTATCAGGATCGACATTCGTGTCATCATCGTCGATATTACTCTCCAATGTTTCTCCTGTTGCAAAGTATTTTAGGAATCGATTGAGGACAAAGTTTCTCCACTTGCTTTTGATGGGGTACATTGACTTATCCTTCATTCCTTTCGAGTAGCCTTGCGGGCCGCCATTATCATACGGGCTCCCCGGACCAAATGCAGCCACCATTTTCTCTGCTGAATCAGCGGCATTGAAACCTGCAACCAGAATTAAGGTTAATCTGAACCAAAGTACCGAAAGTCAAGAGTTTAACTCTTACCTTTGTTTGCAACCAGAGATTCAAGCATGGTAATTAGTTGATCACCATAGGGGCTCTGGAGGCCAGTGGGGATGCAGTAGAAAGGGTTGGCTGATGTTGGTCGAAACTCGGGGTGCTCCAGTCCATCCAACACAGACTCCATTCCCTGGTACACCCAGTGGATGGGCTGGGCTGCAATGAAGCAAACGTTTGCTTGGTGAGCAACAGTGTGCAATGTGAGCTACTATGATCAAAGCAAGCATACTCGACAATGGGTTCCCCCCTCCCCTAACATGGTGTGTAGGTAATAAAGTAATTCAACCTCAGAGCACTGTACTGTTAGCGTATGTAGTGCAGGGAATGAAGTTGCAAATTGTGATTCATCACACCACAGTGTCTCCAGAAGCATCTAAATTTCTGGAAAGCATGTATTTCGGTGATTTTGATGCTTCCCTTAAGCCACGGTATAATGAATAATGATCGGTTCGTGTGTATATATGAATCTATTTTTTCAGTTTGTTATATAAGCTTTAGCTTAGCTGCTAAAGTATCTGTCTGTCCGTAATGGCTTCCAAACAGAGCTCCTCCTGTAAAAGGCTACCGGTTCGCGGTAGTCTTTTACAAATGTGACTGTGGCAAGGAATGGGTCAGACGAGACTCAAGAGGTCAACCAGACACCTGCCCCTCATGTATCACAACAGAAATTTGTCCGTACCGCTATGTGGAGAAAAAGGTTAGATTATTAATTTGATATACCACCAAATTTGACATTTTTCATTGTAGAGGAGGAAGTTTGGGGAATTTAAATGCGTGCCGTGTAAGAACACCTGGTTCAGTGGAAATGCATGGAAAGGCATGGGCCAGCAATGTCGCAAATGTAAAGAAATGATTCTCCCTCACAACCTACAACCACTGCAGTCATCCGAGGGCAATGGAGGTGGAGCTCATGTGCAGAAGTTATGTGAGATGTGCCAGAAGCTCGGTCGTAACTGCAGAGAGGTAGTAGAGTCTGATTCAGACGATGATGCAGAGAGCGTTGTTTCGACTGTCAGTACTTTGAGCAGTGCAGGCACACTCACACCGGGTGAGGAGTCCCAGGAAGAAAGCTCTGGTTCTGATACTGAGGATGAGCTTGCCAATGACCTGAGCAAGCTGACCTTCCCCAAGTAGAGCGACCGCAGATACTGACAGACTGAACTAAGTAAAACTGGTTAGATAGCTAGCTACACAACCTTACCTTGTTATTATTGCACCCTATAAATGTTGCGTAGTCAGTAGTTATCTATTTACGTACACAAACTGACTGTAATGTCCGGGCGTAGTTAAAGTTCGCTCCTGCCACGACATCGGCTGACATACACTTGGAACTTACCAGCGGCATCAGCAACGAGACTCCCAACGATAGCTGCCACCCGGCGCTGCTGGGGCACAGAGAGATCTCCAGCTCTGGACAGGAGTTCCTGGAGGTCCATTCTGTTCCTCGCCAATTATGGAGCTGGATGCATTCCAACACACGTCACCCACACCCACGTATCGTACATCGCTAGTAGATAATCTTGCTAGTGGTGTAACTAGAAAATTCATTTTAGGTAATGACAGAACAGCAGGCATTGTGAAAAAAAACTCAACTTTATTCAGAACCAGTGGAACTTACTGGCGAAACTGCAAAAAGTCATTATGCACGATCGAAAATCTCCCGCGGAACTTTTACGCTGCGCAGCGCAGCCAATAGAATCGCACCACGGCGGTTCGCTCACGGCGCATGCGCAAATAAACAACCTCGTGCATTTTCTGCAAGGCCGGCTGTGTACTGGTGGAGAAGTGCCTGGAAACTCGCCTCGGGAAGCGTCGCCATGAAGCAGCTCTGTGTACTGGCAGTATTACTGACTCTGGCGCTGGCCGAGCCAACCGTCTACTTCAAGGAAACATTCGAAGACGGTGAGTGAGGACCAACACTAGTCCTCTGGAGGTAGTGTATGTACGTGTGTGAACCCTGAGCCGCTAGACAGTGCGACTGGAAAGTGTACGAGAAGTTTGTGGCGTCGCCATGTTTTGTCAGTTCGGTTTCTTGTGCGCAGTATCGATGTCTAGTTGCACAGCAAATTGCAAACTTATTCACGAGCTTTATATCAAGTGGGAGAGTTGACCCTGCTCAATTCTCTCTTGAAGAACCTGTAGAGGTTACCTCATCTTTCAAATATTCCTACATTCACAGCGGATTGGGAGGAGAGATGGGTCGAGTCCACGCACAAATCTGACTACGGAGAGTTCAAGTGGACGGCCGGTAACTTCTACGGTGATGCAGAGAAGGACAAAGGTAAGGGGAGGGTGCATTCCGTGATTTTACATTTTAACCCCCTCTTTCCAGGGATCCAGACGAGTCAAAATGGAAAGTTCTACGCCCGGAGTGCAAAGTTTGATAAGTTCACAAACGAAGGGAAGACCCTTGTTATTCAGTTCACGGTCAAACACGAGCAGAAGATCGACTGCGGCGGTGGCTATGTCAAGGTCGGTGGAAACTAACGGTTGTTTTCAGTTCACGTGCAATGTTGTGGATGAAAAGAGCGAAAGTTGAATGCCCTTCCAATTTGTACCTCCTGGTTCATAGCTGAACTGAATGCTTACTGCCCAGAGAGGCTAACAGCCTCACACGTTCGCACGTTTATGTTTCTTTTCACTCTGTTACTTTTGTTAGCCTATGTTTCTGCCCACAACTGTTTTTGTAAGAAACATGTGGCGATTGTTGCGTGTGTAAGATACTCTACCTGCATAATGACCTCTTCCCTATGTTAGCTACTTCCCGGGTGTGTATATACTCCATAGTCCTTCACTGATATTGGGCTTGTGTATCTCTGTTGGATATTGAAGCCGTCTCCATATTCTACGTAATGCACATGTACTCGAGCAGCAGGCTGGCATCAATCGATTGCAACTGTGTGTGTGTGTGTATACTATGCTGTATATAGTGTGTGTGTGTGTGTACTATGCTGTATATAGTGTGTGTGTGTGTATACTATGCTGTATATAGTGTGTGTGTGTGTATACTATGCTGTATATAGTGTGTGTGTGTGTATACTATGCTGTATATAGTGTGTGTGTGTGTGTACTATGCTGTACATTGACCCATTGTAGTATCCACTACAGTGCAGTACATGTTGCTTGCCTTATGTGCATGCGTACTGCGTAGTGCACAGAAAGGGAAGGCATAGAGCATAATTGTCAGCGAGAAGGCGTAGCATAACACTACGTTTAAATCCCTGGGGGGAGTGGGAGGGGGAGAAAATGGTTTAGGGTTAAAACGTGGCTGGTAAAGATGGGGGGAAGGCATTGGGGGTGGGGGTACGAGAGCTTCTAGTGGAGCTAGCACGGAGCTAGAAAAGACAAAACCCAGAGAGCGAAGAAGACGATGAACTAAACGTAAAAAAAGCGAAGAGAAGGGACGAAAAGAGGAATGAAACAAAAAAATACTATAAAACACATAACACACCACCAAAATTGGGTAAAACACAAAGAAAAAAAATAAATCAATAAAGAACCAATTATAAAAAAACAGGTAAAAACCTGAAGAAAAATAATAAAAAAAAGTACACGACAAACAAACACAAAAAAAATACAAGACAATTAAAGGCACCAAAAAACAAAAAACCAAAACAGAAAAAACCACAGAAAAAAAAAATAAACAAAAAAGAAAACAACACCAAAGAAAAAAAAACCCATAGGAAAACATCCACGACAAAAAAAAGAAAAAAAAACCACAACAAGAGAAACAAAAAAAAAAAGAAAAAAACAAAGAAAAAAAAACACACACAAAAATAGAAAAATAAAAAAAAAACAAAAACAAAAACAAAAATAAACCAAAAAAAAAAGACAAAAAAACACAAGGAAAAACAAAAAAAAAAAAAAAAAATAAAAAACACACCAAAAAATATAAGATACAAAACATACAAAAAAAAACAAAAAACAACAAAAAAAAAAGACAAAGAACAAAAAAAAAAAACATACAAAAAAAAAAACAAAAAAAAATACAACAAAAACAACATAGCATAAAAAGCAAAAAAAAAATCAAACGAAGCAAAAATCAAAAACATAAAGAAATACAAAAATAACAGAGAAAAAAAACACAAGAGAAAAAGAAAAAAAAAAAACAAAAAACCAACAAAGCACAAAAAAAACATAATAAAAGAAAAAAAAAAACAAAAAACAAAAAAAAAAATAAAAAAGGAGACATACAAAAAGGAAAAAAAAGAAAAACACAAAAAAGAAAAGAAACAAAAAAAAGGGGAGAAAAAAAAAAAGATAAAAACAAAACCAGACAAAAGAAACAACAAAACAAAACAAAAAAAAAAAAAAATAAAAGAGAAAAAAAAGAAGAAAAAAAAAAAGAGCAAAATAAAACAACAAAAAAATACAAAGAGGCGGAGAAGACAGAGACCGCCACCCCACCCCCCCCCACCCCCCCCCCCCAATCACCAACCCCCTACACGAACACACCCCACACCCCGCCCCCAGCACAACCCCCCCCCCCCCCCCCCCCACCCCACCCCCCCCCCCCCCAAAAAAAAAAAATTAAGCACAAAGAAAAAAAAGGAAAAAAAAAAAAAAACACCCACAAAAGGAAAAAAAAAACAAACAAAGAAGAAAAAAAAAAAAGAGCAAAGAAAAGACAAAAAAAGCGAAAGAAGAAAGATACAAAAAAAAACAAAAAAAAAAAAAAAGAAAAAAAAACAAAAAAAAAGAAAAAAAACAAAACAAAAAAAAAAAAAAAAAAAAACAAAGACAAAAACAATCAGAAAAAAAAAAAAAAGAAAAAAACAAAAGAAAAAAACAACAAAAAATACACAAAAAAAAAAAAAAAAAAAAAAAAAAAAAAAAAAAAGCACAAAAAAAAAAAAAAAAAAAAAAAAAAACGGCTGGCTGTGCTTCCCTCTATCCACACCTGCGTTGGACCGTTTTGTGCCCAGTTAATTTTCCCCCACCCCCCCCCCCCACCCCCCCCATCCCCCCCCCCACCACCCATCTCGCACAGGTTTCCCAGTACAGTAGACACCAGAGGGGATGCAAGGAGACCAACGTCAAAAACATCAGTTTGGTGAGCCACTCAGTAGTAGAGCTGGTGTGCACCCACTGCCCTAGCAACACATTCTCCATTCATGTCTTACTAGCTTTTCAATAGCTCCCATTTTTCTGTCACCTATTTTCTACTTTCCCTAAAAACGTGACACTTTGCTAGGTTTTGAGCGTGGCCCATTTGTAGGGCTGAACTCTGACAAAGAAGAACACGAAAGCACTCGAAAGCTTTTTGTACCTTTTTTCTGACTTTGCTGAACCTCACGACACTTGGCTAAGGAACAGTTTATACAGACCGTGGGCTAAGCGCAGTGGAGGCAAAGAGCCGTGTGTCAGCTCGGAATGCCCTGTTTGCAAGAAATTCTTCTCGAAAGTGTTTATGCATGCCAAGTTGGGAACTAGCGGTGTGTACAGTGTAAGGCTGCAGAATCGCCCCATGCATCCTCTTACTACTGCACTTGTATATACACATTATGTACTGATTGATCCTGTGTGTGTGTGTGGTGTAGGTCCGGACATCTGTGGGCCAGGAACAAAGAAGGTCCACGTCATCTTGAGCTACAAGGGAGAGAATAAACTCACCAAGAAAGACATCCGATGCAAGGTCAGCAATAATACCACATTCGCATACAATTTCATACAGAGTCAAATTGTTCTCCCTTTACTACCTGTCCCCCCTCCTTTTCCTTCCCTCCCTCCTTTTCCTTCCCTCCCTCCTTTGCCTTCCCTCCCTCCTTCTCTCCCCTCCTCTCCCTCCCACCCAGGATGACGAGTTCACCCATCTCTACACCCTCATCCTCAGACCAGACAACACCTACGAGGTCAAGATAGACAACAAGAGAGCGGAGGGAGGTGCCATCGAGGACGACTGGGATATTCTGCTGCCCAAGGACATCCTGGACCCCGAGGCCACGAAACCAGAGGATTGGGACGACAGAGCAAAGATTCCTGATCCAGAGGACACCAAGCCTGAGGTGGGAGAGAGAGATGGCCCTATCTTGCACTACCAGTGTCTCTGCCGTTGGCTTTGTCTCTCTTTCCTCTCTTGCTCGCCCTCTTTTCCTTCTGGCGTTTCTCTCCGGTGCATGTTTTGGAATACTAAACGCTGGTATGTACAGCGATGGCCACACTGCCAACTAGCCATCCCGATTATTACAACATTACGTATACTTTACATCCCACCACGTTGATAAATGGTTTATTGTCGCCTTATGCAAACACTATCTGTGTCACATAGTGTGTGTGTGTGTCTATTTGCACATTCCCATACTCTGGTGTTGGTATAGGACTGGGACTGTGTGCAGTGTGTGTGGTTTATGTGAAGTAGTGTGTGTGTGTGTGTGTGTGTGTACTGGCACATTCCCATACTCTGGTATAGGAATGGGACAAGCCAGAGTACATCCCAGACCCCGAGGCCAAGATGCCGGAGGACTGGGATGACGAGATGGACGGAGAGTGGGAGCCACCCATGATCCCGAACCCCGACTACAAGGTAGACATCTCTCACTTGTTTACTAAATCTCTCAGTAATTTGCCTCGAGTTCACTAAGTGCCCGTGATGCCGTTGTACAGTGCAACTTGCACATGCATGGAAAGAAGTGCAGTCAATGGGAGTATGTATATTGGGCATCTCGTCCATGGATATCTACTTGTGTTAGAAGCACTCGAGCCTTCCCATAGTGTCCTCACTGCACTCGGAATGCCACAACGCAAGTCTATCAACTAGCTATGTACCGTGTTTTCCAATTGATGCCCGCCTCTCTCTGAATGCAGGGCGAATGGACGGCCAAGTTGATAGACAATCCGGACTACCAAGGAGAGTGGGTCCATCCTCACATCCCCAACCCCGATTATGAACAGGACGAGTTCCTCTACCGCTACGAGGACTTTGGTGTCATTGGATTTGACTTGTGGCAGGTACGAAAGGGGGGTTGTATGGACCGCGACGCTTTATTCTTCCAATGTTTGGTGGTACTTTTGTATTATTTGTGTGGAGAATGCATGTTGTCCAGTACCATTGACTCAGTTTTTGTGTGGTATGAATCCAATGCATGTAGAGATAAGAAAATGGTATGTCAAGAATGCTTTGAAAATGAATAGCTAATGAGGTTCATTTTGGGCTAAGACACCTACAGCAGGTCTCTTAGTGATAAGATACCTGCGGTTAGGTGGCTTAGTTCTAACTAAGACCCTCCCGTTTACAGTACGCGCAGACCAGCGACGATCACGAGCTGAGACTGCTCAGACCTCGCCCTGACTCGGCAATGCTGCTAATAACAGTGATTCTCAGTAATCGTCGACGAAGTCTTAGACAGTGCCCAGTGTGGAATCGGGAGGCCTCTCCCCTGCCGGGCTACCGTCGAAAAGTTGAGGCGCCGCCGCTAATAGTCAGTACTTACCAGCATCGACGCAACCGTGGATTGCGCCCGGTATCGAACTCTCCTCCCCGGTGCTTTCTTCAAAGAGCTGCTACCAACCAAGGTTGAAGGCGGACGAGCTACAGCCAACTGCACGGCTATCCATTTTCTTAACAAGTAAGACGGCAGATTCGAGTGCCTTCGTGGTTCTGCAGCCCGCGTGGTCGGTTGGAATGACGCAATAGAAACCTCGGCTCCGCCTCGGTTACTATTGCGCATTCCAACCTCCCATGCGGGCTTTAGAACCACGAAGACACTCGAATCTCTCTTACCTATACATAGAAAGCCCTCACATAGTGCATCTATAGTGTAAATTTCACGCAGTACTTTTCTAAGCACCTTGACTCCTGTAGAGAGGATTACGTTGTGCCTCCCCAAGTATGGTACGTATATAGTACTTGGATAGTGTGAATTTCATCCTGCATGTAGAGGGTTGTGTGCATCGTGCCTCTGCCTGCCCCTGTGTGTGTGTAGGTGAAGTCTGGCACCAACGTCCTCATCTGCATGTAGAGGGTTGTGTGCATCGTGCCTCTGCCTGCCCCTGTGTGTGTGTAGGTGAAGTCTGGCACCAACGTCCTCATCTGTGCATGTAGAGGGTTGTGTGCATCGTGCCTCTGCCTGCCCCTGTGTGTGTGTAGGTGAAGTCTGGCACCAACGTCCTCATCCTGCATGTAGAGGGTTGTGTGCATCGTGCCTCTGCCTGCCCCTGTGTGTGTGTAGGTGAAGTCTGGCACCAACAGTCCTCATCTGCATGTAGAGGGTTGTGTGCATCGTGCCTCTGCCTGCCCCTGTGTGTGTGTAGGTGAAGTCTGGCACCAACGTCCTCATCTGCATGTAGAGGGTTGTGTGCATCGTGCCTCTGCCTGCCCCTGGTGTGTAGGTGAAGTCTGGCACCAACGTCCTCATCTGCATGTAGAGGGTTGTGTGCATCGTGCCTCTGCCTGCCCCTGTGTGTAGGTGAAGTCTGGCACCAACGTCCTCATCTGCATGTAGAGGGTTGTGTGCATCGTGCCTCTGCCTGCCCCTGTGTGTGTGTAGGTGAAGTCTGGCACCAACGTCCTCATCTGCATGTAGAGGGTTGTGTGCATCGTGCCTCTGCCTGCCCCTGTGTGTGTGTAGGTGAAGTCTGGCACCAACGTCCTCATCTGCATGTAGAGGGTTGTGTGCATCGTGCCTCTGCCTGCCCTGTGTGTGTGTAGGTGAAGTCTGGCACCAACGTCCTCATCCTGTGCATGTAGAGGGTTGTGTGCATCGTGCCTCTGCCTGCCCCTGTGTGTGTGTAGGTGAAGTCTGGCACCAACGTCCTCATCCTGTGCATGTAGAGGGTTGTGTGCATCGTGCCTCTGCCTGCCCCTGTGTGTGTGTAGGTGAAGTCTGGCACCAACGTCCTCATCTGCATGTAGAGGGTTGTGTGCATCGTGCCTCTGCCTGCCCCTGTGTGTAGGTGAAGTCTGGCACCAACGTCCTCATCTGCATGTAGAGGGTTGTGTGCATCGTGCCTCTGCCTGCCCCTGTGTGTGTGTAGGTGAAGTCTGGCACCAACGTCCTCATCCTGTGCATGTAGAGGGTTGTGTGCATCGTGCCTCTGCCTGCCCCTGTGTGTGTGTAGGTGAAGTCTGGCACCAACGTCCTCATCTGCATGTAGAGGGTTGTGTGCATCGTGCCTCTGCCTGCCCCTGTGTGTGTGTAGGTGAAGTCTGGCACCATATTTGACAACGTCCTCATCCTGTGCATGTAGAGGGTTGTGTGCATCGTGCCTCTGCCTGCCCCTGTGTGTAGGTGAAGTCTGGCACCATATTTGACAACGTCCTCATCTGTGACGACGAGGAGTATGCAGAGAAGTTTGGTGAGGAGACGTGGGGGGCCACCAAGGGCCCGGAGAAGGAGATGAAAGATGCTGTGAGTTCTTATATATACACATCGTATACATGGTGGCATACATATATACAAACATGAAGGGAGAAAAATTTGTAAATTTGTAAATTTGTGCACCTCCCAAACCTACAGTTTTGCAATTCTGCTTCGTATAGTTGCTGCTTCACCCACGGCTTGTGCATAATAGTCTGAAGCTCTCACTCGAGGTGTATATATTAGCCGTCCTAAATGCAATTTGGAGGTGGGTAGCTACATTTTGTATTACAGGATTAGTATCTACAAGTTTCCCCCTATTATGGTGTAGAGTTATTTGTGTGTATGCAATTGAGCAAAAATATGGAGGTGGTATATATATTACAGCTGCAAATGCTCTCTCTCCCCCGACAGCAAGATGAAGAGGAGCGAAAGAAGCGCGAAGCCGAGGCTGCAGCCAAAGCTGAGGAAGAAGTGGAGGAGGAGGAGGAAGAGGAAGAAGATGACGACGACTGGGGAGACGATGTGAGGAGTTGGGGGAGATGGAGAGATATACTGTTTATCGTAACTTCTATAACTGCTAGAAAAAGCTTTACGAGCGTGCATGTACCGTATAGAACCTCCGATAAAGGACACTCCCGAATAAAGGAATCCATGACGGACACACTTGGAGGTCCTGAACGTTAGAATGCAAAAGTGGGAGTTAGCCTCTTGAAAGTGCATCGCACTCCACTCACTTTGAATTTCGGACTTACCTAATGAAGAATCTATGTTTCTCGCCACAGTTTCCCCCAGAGGACGGTGAGGAGATATTCTCGATGGAAGACCTTGAGGCACAGCTAGGGGACGAGGTGGGAGGAGAGGGTGAGGAGGAGGAGGCGGGGGAGGTAGAGGAAGAAGAGGCAGCCGGAAAAGACGAGCTCTAACACTGCTAGACCATAGGGCTTGTAGGAATCATTGTACAGAGATTATTATGTAATGTGTGTACATAGAGAATGCTGCTCTCACTATTAAAATCACGACATTTTGTACAGAAAATAACTTGAACACAAGCTGTTATAATGCGTGCATAATATTTGTGTAAAGTTGCTTCGTGTGTAAAGTTTTGGGTTGTCACTGTCTGGGTATTCCACGACTGTTAGCACGACTGTTGACGCTAGCACTTCGGCTGTTTGCTGCTCTACCACGGCTGTTAACGCCAGCTGGTGCAGCACTTCGGCTGTTCACACCAACCTGTGCGGCACTTCGACTGTTGACATGGACTGGTGATGTAGTTTGGCTGTTCACATGGGCGGTTCGGCTGTTAGCCTTGGCCGGGAGTGTACTGCGACTGTTGGCATGTACTGGTGTGGAGTGGGGGGTGTTGGTGCCTGCCATGTTGTCCAGAGATGGTCTGCGGGAGCGTTCAGCTTCGGGGGCATTTCGGTTGAGGAACATGTCATACTCTCCCATTCGCTGGCCTGTGTGACCATAATTATTATTGTACAATTATATAAAGAGTCAATATTTTTCATCAGTAGCAGACTCAGAGTTGAGAAAAGAGCATAGCCACGCTAAAGGCTGGAGCGCCACACATGGACACACTTAACCCTGTAAGGATATCAGGCTTATGGGCTAGTTCTTATTTATGCCCACCAGGTTGCATGGGGGTAGATTGCTGGTAGGAGTCCAGGTATTTGGTGCGGTCCAGCTCCATCACTGAGCCCCGTTCAGCTGCTTTCTCAGTCGAGGCCTTGCGAAGAGGTCTCCTGGCATCACCGTCAACTGTGGCCCTCAGCGGCGGCCCTCCTTTGAAAGACGACTGCTCCCCATCACCATCATACTGAGCAGTGGAGAGAACATAGAATAACAGGACACCTTGGAAACATTGAAAAAGTTAGTGTCCCTTATTCAGAGGCGTCCTTTTTTGAGGTAGTATAATACACTAATGTATTAGTATGGGCAAACCCCTGTCATTAATTCGGAGAGACCTATTTCGGAGGTTTCACTGTACTCGTAATAAAGTTTGTTGGGATTTTGAACTTACGTCTTCATTTTCATTGGATGCGAGGTAGTTGGGATCAAACCAAGGCATTGTCTGCTCCTCATTAAGCATTTCATCGTCGTCAAACATAGTCTCATATGCGAGGTCGCTGTTGGTTCCTGCATGATATTATTATGACAGCAAACTTCATTTGTTCCAGAAGCAGTGGCACACAAACCTTTTTGCGTGAGGGAAAAGCTCTCTGGTCTCTTTGCACGTCTTTTGCGCTTGTAACTGAGATCGGAATACATATCTTTCTCTGGCCTGGGGTTGATAAGGAATACATTGTCAATCACTGTGGCTTCAATAAACATGTGTTGTCCATTAATCACACAAGCCAAATTCACAGCAGATCGTTGAACTTACTTTGGCTTTCTTCTCCGACCAAAGACGCTGATGACGACAATGAGAAGTATGATGAGTAGAACAGCCACGACGGCTCCACTGATGATCCCCACCAGTAGCGTATTGTCTGCTGCTGCTGCTGTAGGCGGCTCTGCAGTGGGACTGGAGACTGGTACGTCCCCCACGCTAATATCAAGATCGCCGATCCCCGCTGCAGAAACGGCACTTGCGATTGCCCCTTCTTCCACCTCGCTGTAGGTGACATAGCTGACGGAGTTAGATAGCTCCCGTGTCTCCTCCTTGCCATTGTCGTATCTGGTCCCGTAGCCTCCATACCACCCATACACACTCACAATCAAGCTGTGAACAGAAAAGAACAATGGCCATTGTTTCAATATACTCTCCACAGCAACAGCACAATGATGTATGAATGTCATTACCACTGTAGCCAAGGTATAGGACAGCTCAAAAGTTTTGCCAGTCAAAGTCAAGTTCATCTCTACATGGTGAGTTTGCTAAAGGCTACATTCTCTAAGTCATTACTGTATGTATTGCTAAAGGCTACCCTCTCTAATTCAAGTGTATGTAAGTATAACTGCATGGTAAAGTAATACATACCGTAGCTGCATGTGTACTGGTAACTCACACTTTTGTGTCTGTGATGGACTCATCAATAGATTCGTAGTAGTAAGACACGGGTCGCCCAAATACAGAAGAGAGTTGGGTATTTAGCATTCTCAAAACATCAGCCGTTAGAAAATCTTCTTTGGACTGCCCAGACACAGTCATGGGGAGTAAGTGTTCCTGGGCAAACACTCCCAAGTAGAGAACTGTAGAGGTTTTGTGTACGTGATCAGACACCTCGACTGTGAATTTCCTGAGACCTGACTGGGCATTGCTGGGTATTCGGTTGGCTATCACGTGGTAGGGTGGCTGGCTCCTTACACTTAGACTGTACTCCTCAGCACTGGCATCACTCGGGTCGGGGGATATCGAGAAAGTAAAGGTGGTGTCACCGTCCAGATCAGACACTTCGAGCAAGACGTGTATGACGTCGCTGTTGGCCGGGGCACGTGTGTATAGTTCTCCAAAGTAGGCCGGTGCTGCAAATGCCGGTGGCACGTCATTTACATTCTGTATCTGTATTGTGTACGGGGCTGTTGAAGATAGAGGAGGCGTTCCGAGATCTTCTACCTCAACTGTGAGTGTGTACGTCTCTTGAGACTCGAAATCTAGTTGCTGTCTTATTGTGATAGTTCCATCATTTCGGTTGATTTCAAACGGACTTGTTGAGGGGTCGATGATGGAATACTGGAGAGCCTTGTTTGATCCAATGTCACTGTCAGTAGCTACGACCTGGGTGACCACTGTGTTTATTGCATCAGCTTCTGAGACGTAATATAGAGGCCGTGGCGGTGGTATAACTGGTACGTTGTCGTTCACATCCTCTATGGTTATGGTAAAGTCAACCATCAAACTTTCAACCATGTCTCGGTCACTCACTAGGTATCTTGTTGCACTGACTTGTAGTATATAGATGGGTACAGCCTCGCGGTTTAGATCAGCATTTACAAATATGTCGATTTGGTATTGGCCGGTCTCCGATCTGAAAGGGTCAGCCACACCTTGTGGGGATATGATCTCATAAGCGAATGAATAATGATAGTCACTAGATTGGGCCAACTCCTGTATTCTCAACTGATTCACTTTGTCATTCACCGGAGTGTCTTCAGGTATCGAACTGGCATACACTTCATTCTCAAACGTAAGACTGCGTGCATCAATTGTGATATATAGCTCAATAGTGGAGAACAGTTTATATTCACTGTTGTCAGTTGCTCTCACTCTAACGCTATAATCTTCCCCTGGGTACAAGTATGAGTTGATTCATTGAAACTTATCTCTCCTGTATCTTGATTAATTGCGATGAAACTCAGCGTTCAGTAGAGTCAAATGTGAACATGATCGTATCATTATCTCTGTCAGTGGCACTAACCCTGGATTAGTGTGTCACCTTGTGTGATGACTGGATCGATGACCAAGGTCTGTACTGTGTCAGTGTCAAACTCTGGTGGGTTATCTGGTTTGTCAATAACGTTCACAATCACAGTATACTCAACTCTGTTGGAGTTTGAAGGGTCATCATTGGGATTGTCAACTAAGTCTACAAGAAACTCCACACTCTGCTCAACTTCAAAATCGAGGGCTTCGTTTAGAGTCACTTCACCTGAAGCGCTGTCTACGGTAAAACGATTCTCACTTTGACCAGAGGAAATATGAATGGTCGCTCTGCCATACTCTTGTTCGTCTGAGTCTCTGTACTGAAGTTGAAAGACAACAGCTCCAGAGACCCTTTCGTCCACGCTAAACTCTGTTTCAACCAGTACGGGACTGTTGTCGTTGATGTCTAGCAGAGTGAGAGTGAAGTCGTCCTGATACGACTTTGGAACTCTCCCTTTGTCTGTTACCAACACTGAGACTATGTGGACTTCCTGCTCCTCCCTATCAAGGCCAGGCAAGACAAATACGTCACCTGTACTGGGATCAATATACAAGAGTTTGTTGTTGACTATTGAAAACACTAGCTCTGCATTGCTACCAGCGTCGGCGTCGTTTGCCGATATGCGTGTTATATTCTCCGCTTGTGTCACGTTCTCGCGGTACTCTATGTTGTGAGGAAAGTTGGTAAACTCGGGAGCATTGTCATTTTCATCCAGAACAATTACTCTTACCGAAGCTGTATCTGTGAGATTCACACCGTTTTCGTGAGGCAGATAAAGAGTACACACCACTTCGAAATCTATGACAGTTTCGCTAGACTCATAGTCAAACTGTCGACGTGACTGTACGACTCCAGACTGCGTCACGACCACAAAGTCTTCGCTGTCGGAGCTGAAGCTGCGATACTGAACAAACTCTGTGGGCAGTGGAGGATACAGTGCTACCTCTCCCACCGCGGTTCCTGATATGTTGTACTCACTGACATTGAAGTTGTACTGAGCTTCAGAAAAGGCGATGGAGTCTGGGATACCTTGACGAATGTCAATGAGAACAATTGTACTGCCAGTCAATGGCTCGTCTCCCATGTCTGTGGCCTCTACGGTGAGACTGTACGTCCTCACTTCCAGTGAGGTTGAATTAACGGCAAATATACTACCATTCTCTAGTATATTAAAGGAGTCTCTATGATCAACTATTGAGTAACTTATTACAGAGTTTTCTCCAACGTCTGCATCACTTGCGGACACACTAATGATTGGTACATCAGTCACCAACTCGTCAATATAGACTACGGCAGAGTAGGACGATCGGTCAAAGATTGGAACGTTATCGTTTGTGTCAAGGATGGTGACAGTCACAGAGGTAGTAGCAGACAGGGAAGGAATCGGGTGGTGGATAAGCCGGGCGGTTATGGTGAGGTTGAACTCGTCTCCTTGTTCCCTGTCCAGAGGGAAGTGGTTGGAGATGACGCCAGAGTATTGGTGAATGTGGAAGACAAAAACCCCGGAACCTCCGCTGACAGAGTACACGAGATCATCCAGAGCCGGTGTATCTGGTAGTACACTGACCCTGCCCGCCTCAGTTGCAGTAGGCGAGTTTTCTGTATGGTTGAAGGCATAGTGAGCGTATGGGAAATATATCGTGTCGGGAATAGCGTATTCAACTTGAATACGAACAGTAGCCATTGCGGTTTCCGGTGGGTTTCCTCCATCTGAAGCAATGATGTTGAAAATATAGGCCGTTTCTGGCTCCAGTAGGGAAGCGTTCTGAACAATGATCTCACCACGTAATTCACCTGTTGTGTTTGAAATCAGGCGAATCCCAAACGGATTCAGTTCATCAAGGGAGATGTCAAGTTGTGCATTAATGCCTTCGTCTCTATCAGTGACCAGTATTTCGTCAGTTGGGACACGTTGATTGTCTGCATAGCCGTCATCAATTATGGTCGAGTACAGAATTGGGTTAAAAACAGGCCTATTGTCATTTTCATCTACAACTTTGATGGTTAGTGTAATAGTGACGTGGATGTCATAGTCACTAAACTCAGCTGTGACTCCGAAAGAGTAATTGCTCCGCAGTTCCCGGTCCAGTGCTCCAACTAGCTTCAGAGTTCCGTTGCTTTCATTGATCACGAAATAATCCTCTCCGATTGAAAACTCCAGGTTTCCACTGTAGTGTTCTGGCACAATCACCATCCCCCCGGCTACAAGCTGGACCGTGCCCACCTCAGTTCCTGCCGGGGAGTTTTCAGGTATCTGAAACATTGTTGTCGTTATCTGTAAGGGCAAATTTGGCTGCTGGTAGGTGACACAGATACTCACAATCGTGGTACTATTTTCAGGCATCGTGGGGTTTGAGTCGGACGCCGTGATAATCAGTCGATAGTCGCCCGCAGGAATAGTTTCAGTCAGGGAGTAAATTTCTCCTGTGTTGGTTATTCGGAATTGGTCAGTCTGACTTTCTCCGTCACTGAAACTGTACTGGACCGTTCCGTTGAGATCGTCATCGATATCAAAAGCAGTCACTTGCAGGATTGCTGTTGAATTGCCATAAGTGGTAAAAATTCCCTTTGCGTAAACGTCTTTTGTGAAAATTGGAGGGTTGTCATTGATGTCAAGCACATTCACGGTCATTTTTACCTCCCCCGTTTGGTTTCCTTCGTACTCAGCAATAACAACTAGCGTATAGCGAGATTGGTTCTCTCTGTCCAACGAACTAGAGACCAGTACGTCACCTGTCATTGGACCAACTGTCAAGTGGACAAAGTCGGTCAGATTTGCGTCTGAGAAGCGGTACCTAAGATCACTTCCCTCGGGGAAAGGCATGCGATTGTGGTCCAGAGCTACAACTCTACCAACCAAAGTCTCGGGTGCAGCATCTTCACTGACTTCAAATGTGTACTCGCTCTCTTCGAATAGAATGCTCTGTGGACTGGCTGGGATGACAGAAATGAAGACGAGGACCGTTCCAGACATGCGTGGGTCTCCTTCGTCAGTAGCCACAGCCGTCAAGTGGTAGTCGCCTGCATACAATGTCGAGTTGACGATGTACACAGCTCCGGTGGTGTGGTTGATTCCAAATCCAATAGTCTCGGATTCGGCAATGGTGTATTGCACCTGTGAGTTTCTAGACCCAAGTTCATCGTCGTCATCAGCCGAGACGTTGAAAAGAACTGAGTGTTGGGGCCGGGCTGTAGTGATGACGTCTGTGTAGAGAGACTGTCTAAACTGAGGCGCATGATCGTTCACGTCGTCCACATGCACTTCAATCGTTGCATTGTCAAACACGTAAGTGTCATTGTAAACCTCGGCGTATATGATGTACACGGTCTGATGCTCGGCATCCAATGCCGAAAGAACGGACAAATTTCCAAGGTCTGGGTCAATATGAAACATTGAAGCATCCTGCAGCCTGTACTTGAGGTGGGTGTATCCATCAATACTGTTGTTCCCGGCCACATGAGCGAGAACGCTGCCAATCTCAGTTCCAGGCGGGGAATTTTCTGAGACGTTGAAGACATACTGCTGCCTATCAAACTCAGGGACGACAGACAGCGACCGTACCACTGATATAAATACAACGGTTTCAGAGCTGCGACGTGGCGTGCCGTTGTCGTCAGCAACGACATAGAACCTGTAATCAAGAGGTGTGTCTAAAGCACTAGTTACATTAATCACACCATTCACACGATCAACAGAGAAGGGTACTACGTCTTCACCGTCTTTCAAGCGGTAGCTTACGTCTGCATTGTTGCCCGAGTCAGCATCATCGGCATGTACAGTTAGGACGCTCCTCCCAACTCGGGTAAATTCTTCTACAACCTCAGTGTAAAAAGATGGCGTGAAAACTGGAGAATTGTCATTCACATCAACTACCGACACTTCAATTGATGCCGTAGATTCAATTGTTGCATTGGCGTAGTTAGGTATCGATGCAACTATTGTGAGATTGTATGATTTTACTTCCTCGAAATCTAGTGAGTTGAGTAGGATGAGATTCCCGCTATACCTCCCTATGTGAAAGCTTTCAGAACCATTTGTTTGCATCAGCTCATATTGTACATCACCAACTGTCTGTGCATCAACGATAACACCGCCATTTCGATCGACAACAACGGCAACAATGGATTCAATCTCATAGCCTCTGGGGTTGTCTTCATGGATTCTGATAGTTGATGGAATATCTTGAAATTCTATGCTGTCTGGTATTGGCGCGACATATATATCAACTCGTGAGGTGCTACTCATTGGAGGGTTACCCTCGTCTGTTGCATAAACTTTAAGTACATAGGAGCCATAAAGGGATACAACACTGGCATTTTTGATGTAGACTACACCCGTAAGGTTGTTTATGGCAAAGAGAGCGTTCTCTTCTATGCTGTAAACTACAGAGCCGTTGTTTTCAAAGTCGCTATCGAATGCAGCAACTGCTAACGCAACGTCTCCCACTGTATTAGCGGTTGTGAGGTTATCAGAAGTGTAAAGATCGTTGCTGAAAATTGGAGGGCCTTCGTTGATGTCAGATATGGTGATATTAACTACTGCTTTAGTTACTTCTCTGCTGGAAGATAGCGTTGCTTCTATGTTGAGGATATAATTGTCTTCTTTTTCACGGTCTACAGAATAAGTTACGTAAACAGTGCCATTTGGCCGTATACTGAATTCTGTTGGTTGTCCGGTGACGTCATATGTGATGTTGCCATCAGGTATATCGGGGTCAAACGCCGACACAGTAAGTACGTGGTGGTACCGTTGTACATTCTCTGGTACAACCGCAAAATACGTGGCATTGTCGAACTCAAAACTGTTATCGTCCTCGTTCAAAACTTCTATATCTACGGTAGCTGATGCTGTGATCTCATACTGATTGGAGCAAGTAACCTCAAGGGTATAATGGGGTAGAGTTGTGTCTCGTAGAGCTTCATAGTCTCTCTGTTTCAACAAAACAAGCATTAGGTCATCATATTCACCTTCGAGTGAGAACAGTTTGGAGTCATTGCTCTCTGTTAGACGTGTGGTAAGATTACTAGTACCAGTAGCATCCTCGGGTTCAGTGCAAGAAAAGTTCAAGACTATTGAATTATCCAGAACATTCTCCGAGATCTCAACCATGTAGAGACCTTTGTCGAAACTGGGAATCGGAGCTGGCGTGTCCTCTAGAGTTACAGACACGGTTATCTCACTACTTTGTGGATTTCGCCCAGAGTCACTAGCTACAACTACAAGAACAAAGCGTCTGTACAGGCCTCGAGTGGTGTTAAGATCTTTGGCTAGGACAAGTACACCAGTCTCGTTGTCAATACTGAAGATGCCCTCCCCACTTGACACGTTCACGGGGAGCTGGTGGCCATGGTAGAGGCGATAGTTCAGCTCACCTGGTTGACCGGCATCCATGTCAGTGGCATTGAACTGTGCCAATACTGCACCTTCTGGAAGGTTCCAGGAGAGTCTCAGTGCCTTGATAGTGTCGTTGACAAATTCCGGTGCAGCTTCGTTTATTTCTGCGCACAACAATTAACGTTTTAGCAACACAACCTAGTGTGAGCTATATAAGGCATACTATACTTGTCTGATGTATGAGCCATATAGCTAAGGCATATTATAGGCTGCTACTTGTATATACCTGACTCGCAGTGGTTTCCAGTGTAGCCAGCATCGCAGACACAACCTTTGACCGGGTCACAATCTCCATTCTCACAGTCACACACTCTTTTGCATCTGTAACCATATCTATTAGGCATGCAATCTGCACGGGGGAGAGATATGGAATGTTTTGAGCACAATGAAGGGGAACTGGTATAATACTTTTACCTTCACAGCTATGCTCTCCAACTTGTATGTTATTGTCTGCAAGTACTGTTCCATTGCAGTCTCCCACACAGTATTTACCAATGGTCAAACATAGACAAAATCCCTGATCACCAACTTTAGCACATGAGCTCATTATTTGACAACCACTACAAAGGCCTAAAGCAACAAATATAAATATCTGTCGGTATAATGATGATAGAAAGGCTAACCAGCAGTACACGACCCTTCCGAGGATAGTGTTAGAGGGTAATAGCAGTCACACTCGTAGCTTCCTACTGTGTTTATACACTTTTGTTCGCTCTACAGTCGTCAGTTCCTTCATAACACTCATCAATATCTGCCACAATAGGCGCACGCACATGTCACACCATACTAACAGCATGTAGATCTCTTACCAGTGCAGTTTCTGCCATCCTCCGTCAGCTCATAGCCATCCTCGCACAGGCATTCATAGCTTCCCTCAGTGTTGTTGCAGATGTGCATGCAGCCATGCTCTTCTGTATCACACTCATTAATATCTGCAGACAAAATTCCAACCTTTAAAACCACCCATTAACTTGTCAAAAGAAACTCTGACTGCAGTAAATCTCTTACTCTTAACCCACAACCTATTGTTTGTGTGACTGAAGTTGCTTACCAGTACACTTTCCGTCTAGTGCTAGTTCGTATCCATCCTGACATGATGAGCAGTTGTATCCAACATCAACTGAGGTGTCCTCAACACACACGGCAGACTCGGGACACGAGTCATCAGAGCATCCTCTGTCATCGTTCTCACAAAAATCTCCCGAAAACAGCTCCTCGCACAGACACTCTTGGAGATAGTGTCCGTTGGTGCTATCAAACATAGGTGCAGTGTCGTTGTTGCAAGTCCCATTGTTGACACAAGCACACAGTACAATGGAGACTGCATGGAGAGTGGCAGCACCCATGCTGTCATTGGCTAGTATATGAATTGGGGTTTGGGGTAGCTCTGAACCGGGAGTGTCCCAAACCAGTAGAGCTGTGTCTCCACTAAAATCCAGACTAAGATCTCCAGACTGCGAAATAATACATTATGTAAGAGCAATAAATCAAACATCTTTTGTTTTTCAAACTGAGCAACCCTTAGGGTTCAGTGGCTGTATTACCTGAACTAGTTCAAAAGCAGTTATGTTGTGGCCATCTGCATCATAAACAGTGAAGGTCTCTTCAAATATTTTTCCTCTGGTGACATATACTACCGTAGGACCACTAATAGTCGGCGGAGTATTATCTGAAAAAGAGTGACACATTGAATCATAGTGACAAGTTGCAAGTTGTTTATGGAATGGAGTTACAATTCACCCGTCCTCTCACCTCTTGAATCTCATGAACCGTGTGTGTGTGTGTGGAAGTGGTTTACTAAGAACTATTGATATTCACCGCTATGAATGCTGCTATCAAAAAACGCTCACATGCCCAGTCAGTACCGAATAACGTATTCAGCCTCAATTAATTCCCCGTGCGTATAGAAAAACTCACCGAGGATATTCTGAGTATCTTCATTCTCTGTACTGACTGCGTATGTAGCTGCAGCAAAACTGGCATTGTTGGTAATGGCGTAGTCGAAAATACACTGTGTATTGCCTTCACACACTGCGTCTAAGTCATCGAGTATAGATGTGTCAAGCTCATCAGTAAATGTTGGTGTATGCTCGTCCCAGCCATCGTTGTAAGTCGAGTAGCTATGTCCATCGAAATATTTGAATTTGGACATTTCTTCACCAACATGCCCTGCAGCAAAGGAAAATTAAACTAACAAGGAATATCGACCATAGGGAAAAGGTACTCACATGATATTCCATAGTCAAAGATATCTCTTTCACTGCTGTTTCTGCTCAGTATAGTACCATCTGGTCTGTAAAAGTCGTCTGAAGTGTCCTCGTTCAAGTAACCTAACAGACCCTTGGTACTGTTGACAAACGCATCGTTGACTTCGACTGCCAAATGAAGTGCAGAAGAGGAGCTAGAAACCATTACAGAAGCACCAGTCGATGTTGAAATGATGATATTTTCATCGCTAGAAGTAAGTGAGATGTACTCGGAAGACATGGAGTTTTGTTCATCTCCACTAAATTCCATGAGGGAAGCATACATTCTGCTTTCCGTAATAATCAACCCTTCGTCTTCTTCAGATGGTATATCTACAGGTGTTCCATTAACATATGCAAAAACACTCCCTTCGCTCAGGTCGACCTGCACCGGCTGAACACGTCCCTGAACAACTACCACAGCTGAAAATACTGTGCCTGTGCTATTCATGTCCACTCCCACCAAACGGGTTTGCACTGTCAAGTTGTTAGCATCAGACTGCAGTAACACGTATTCCCCATAGCCATTGAACGTATACGTTAGCCCATCTACTGTCTGGAAGTGGGGGTCACCCCATGTAAAACCTATGAAAGGTAAGCTCTTTAATACAAGATTGCTACATCGATGAGGGAAACTCACCAATTTCAGATGGACTGTATTCACTGCAGTCATCAGAGGGTCTGAAGGTATAAAACACTGAGCAGAGTCTAGAGGATTGACAGCAGTTTTCGAATGGTTGCTTGTCTTCAGTGATGTAATTTCTGTTGGAGAACAATGGATGGTGGAGTTTGTAGCTCCCTCCAGTCCTGCCCCCAACCAGCAGAGCTCCACTGCTATCATCGTAGCAACACTCCACCGTGCTCTGTCTTCTTGACCACACCAACGTGGCACAGTTGGGTCCGGAAGAGAGACCCCACCTCCACCAGAACCTAAACCTCCAGTCTCGCCTGGCCTGTGACCAAGTACACGGACACGACGGAAGACCCTCGAAATAGTCTTCAAACGTGTTCTTTTTCTGCTCGTCCAACCCACTTGAAGCACTCTTTCTCTGGGTCAGAGTCAGAGTCGGGGTCAACTAGCTGAAAGTACCACTCCCCAGCATTGCCCGTGTTTCCAATCACACTGTCAATTTCGGTGAAACTTTCGCTGCCGTCTACATTTAGATAGTTCACATAATTCTTTGAGTCATAGCCGATGACTATATCCCGACTATCGCGGTTCCAATTGATGCCTCCCTCCTGATAGAGAAACACTGCGTATGTATCGACTGAGTCAGAAGCAAGCAGTACTTGAAACGTCAGGGCCTGTTAGAACGATAAAGTGTGTTATCCTCCGAAGCATACTTATAATGTAGGAAAGGTTTACCTCATCCTTATTGGATCTTCCGTAGTAAGGTGTTACCCTGTACCAAGTACACACTAACATCCATGTTGGGTTGAAAATGTACCACCGTCGGTGTAAGCTGAAATTCTCTCAGAAAACTCTTGCAGGAATGCTTGGTCCCTTTTAGGGCCTGAGCTAACATATGCGGAATAGTACAATCCACTATCTTCGATGTCGTTGCGAAAGTCCAAGTCATTCCAATATGCGGCAATGATTGGTACACTGCTCCAACCGTATGGGAAGGCGACAGGCCAGTACTGCGTGAAAGGCCTCCCGAACGAAACAACTCCATTTGTACTCATCTGGAGAGAGAAATATTTACCAGACCTCGTGCTTTAATTTTGAACTTAGCTCTAATACTTACATAAACGGAGGTGTAGTAGTGGTCCCAGAAGGGAATTGGGTTAGGTACAAAGACGGCCCCTGCCCTATCGTCAGCATTTTCAATTACTCCTTTAGCAAATTCCCCAGCAAAAGGCAAGAGCCGCTCGACTGTAGCTGCTGATTGTTAAAGAGACAGAGACCATTTCCTCACTGCACGAGAGGTCATCTGCCGTTGCCAGCATATCATATGTACACACTTCTAGCGAGAAGGATTTGATGTCATCATCATCTTCAAAATAGTCTGCAAATATTGCTGATTTTCTCGACTCCAAAAGCTCAAGGTCAACATCTAAGGACCTGAAGAGAACTTCGTATCCTTCCTCCAAAACTTCACAGTTTAGTTCCTTCTGGAGGTTTTGTATGATACTTTCGAAGAGACTGACGTCTAAAGTCACTGAATACACGTCGCAAGTGGGCGGATCTGGTGTGCCAGTTAGCCCCGACCCGTACCCAAGTCCACTGCCTGAGCCAGGCGTTAGCTGCTCACCCTGACCTGAAGTGTGGAAAGAGATGAGGGTAATTGTGATGGGGCAAGGTTCTGCCTGCAAGAAGCTTCGCTACGCACAATGTCTCGCAGGGCAAGCCTCTCCCAAGTTCTACATACGTAGGAGAACACCTCGCCTGCGAAACTAACTTACTGGTCGCAGGGTGTAGTAGGAACAGCAGGAGAGATACGGCGAAGCACACTTTCCAACACATCCCTGGTGCAGTCGACATGATGCTGTTTTTGCTGCAGCATATGCAAACGAGCCCCGCCCTCTGTTTGATCGACGAGCACGCGACATTAATATGACGTAATCCAGCAATCGTCGGCCAACAAATAGCTACGTGTGTCCAGGGAGAAGAGATAATTATGGGAAGGTTGGCACAAGTTTAGCATCTCTTCTGTACAATATTTAGCTGTTTTACTTGATTGCAGAAGAGCGCCCGTGACAACTGGAAAACGAAGAAATCCGGTAAGGTTTCAGGTTTAGCGGTTTTTGCTAGCAAGGTGATTTGGTGCGGTGTGTGTATTTACAGGCATCCCGTCCAGAGTGCTGGACAAAGCTGTTGAGGGGGAAAAAGTTAGTAGACATTTCTCGAAATGTGCTCTCTCAACGTGACATCTACACAAAATACACTGTGGTGCATGCACTGGCATCTAGCAAGTATCAAAAAATCGTTCTGCAAGAAGAATTCACGTTTCTTGCTCAGAACAACCTCATGGGGAAATTGCTGGCAAAGGATAGAGATGGGGATATGCCGTTGCAAAGTGCAGTTTATAGCGGGGCCGACCCTGAAACGATCGATTTTATTCTGAATTTCAACCATGACGCTAGAAAGAAAATGCTTGAAAATCGCAACAAATACGCCGAAACCGCCCTTGAGTGGTGCCTTAGCCAGGAGCTCGTTGACATTTTCAGGCTTCTTTTGGAGCACAGCATTAAGTGCAGGGCTCTAGAAGACCTTACTAGCACCAGAAAAGGCAACGTACAGTGCTCAACTCTGCTGCATCAGTGCATTGAGGGAAGGCATGTTAAAATCTTGCGTACGTACATGGAAGTATGCATAAAAGAAGAAGCAAAAATAAGCCTTTGTCCTGTTGACGAGAAAGGACGCACGCCTTGGAATTATCTTATATGCTACAAAGAAGACGAAATCGAGATATTTAAGGAAATTATTTTAATCCTACAAAAGCACAAAATTAATTTGAGCTCTCTCCATGTCAACAAGTGCAGCAAGGAAACCATGCTGCATATGGCCTATCGCCTCAACAGGCCACAGTTTATCGCTTGTCTTGAGGAAACATGTGGGTCAACCGTTGACCAGTTCAACCGCAAGCCACAGCAGAGAGATCGAAGGCTCACAAAGGGACGACCTTTACCCCAGCACCCCCAACCCAAGATACAACAGCGTGCTCAGCCTCCCCAAGTGCATGCTCTGCGCAAGCCAAAAGCCAGTCGTACACACAAACCGACATCTTATCCCCAAGCCGGTGTTGTGCACAAGCCAATGTCTCCCCAAGCCAGCATCGCACGCGAAACCCGAGCTTCACACGAACAAATGCGTCAGCAACAAGCCACTCTTTTCGCGGAGCCAACGTTACATCCCCAAGCCAGCATTGCGCATGAACCCCAACCTTCACACCAGTCAGCGCATCAGCCACAATCGCGCGAGCCGACATCGCTTCCCCAAGCCAGTGTAGCGCATGAACACCGATCTCCTAAACCTTCACACAAGCAAACCCATCAGCTACAAGCAGGTGTTGTGCACAACAAGCACAAGTCTTCCAAAGCCCATCCTGCACAGAAAGCTTCATGGCCACAACACAGTGCTGTCCAAAAGGTGAGGTGTGCCAGCGTTGAACAAGGAACCAAATCGCCTAAAGCTCGTGCTTCGCTCCAACCACCACCTTCCCAAGTTGGTGTTGCATCCCACCCCGCAATCCAACCACCCTTCCAAAACTGGTGTGCACTGGGCAAGGCCAACAGAAGCTAATATTGTGCACGAGCCCCAAGCAAGTCTTGCGCGCAACCCACTCCAAGCAAATAATGCGCACCAGCTCCAGTCCTCTCAAGCCAGTACTGTGCAACTTCAACATACATATCAACGTCACTCCCAACAGCCTGCGCAGTTCCCGAATCCACAGCTATCACAAGCTAGAGACGCATCACGTGAAATCGAGTCAGTTCCCCACAACCGAACACCACAGCCCCAATCTTTTCAACCGCCTGATGGCTCTTCCAGTGACCAAGAAATGGTAAGCCATGCATTAGCCATTTCTCTTGCCACCCACACTGTTACCATACATACACTATTTGCAACTGTAACAGTCACGAGTTTTACACTCGTGACTGTTACAGAATGTCAGTTTTCGCATACCAATGGCCTGTGGTGCGTTGCCTAGGTATCCTGTGGTATGGTATCCAATCAATTTACCATTGTTTACATGATGTACATGTACGTGTATTACATGCAGGCCATTGAAATGGTGGAAGATAACCAGCCACACAATGAACCCATCCACTGTGTTACTGGTGTTGAACAGCAACCAGTCGCCATTGTTTCACAAGCAGTCCATTCACACATTCCAGGGCCAGTCAATCAGCCACATAAGAACAACACAGTGACAATACCATTTCAGTCACTGTGGTCTGCAAGTGATCCTAATTAACACCGTACCTCTTCACCCAATATTCATTATACACTTCATTTTCATTTGCCGATCTCCACACAATCCTTTCACCATTTAATCTCACTTTTTAAGACGTATATATACATCAGTTTATTATTCATGGAAAAAAAATTTTTTATCAACATTTTTGACATTGATAATACATGACGTGTTTTGTACAACCACTTTGTTTGTTGTAAACCACTATTTAATTGTAAACTGTCTAGCGAAGTAAAAAAGTTTTTGCCATTATTATTATTTTTACAGATTACAGGCCAGGTGGGAGTCTCACATCCACTTATCGAACCTCCTCGAACCTTCTTGAACAACTTCAGTGCGGAGAACACAAAGTGTGTCTAGGGGTTATTCACATGAGTTTTGTGTGGTTCGGCTGTACACAACCTTCTCTATGAACCGAAGGTCGCTAACAGAAAGGCGGACCACAAACTTCTTCCTCCGTTTTAGACTTTTCTCCCCGAGACATTATTTCACCACACGGTGGCAACCAAAATGACGTTGACAATTCCGTACGCATGTTCATTATTATTCAACATAATTACGCGAAAATACGAGCGCTTGGTGGTTATATGTAGCAATTAACTTATTGCACATAGACTGGCATCTTTTTGGAATCTAAAGTACAGGTAAAAGCAGCGAAAATGTAAGTAAAATTTACACACTTCTTTGGCTTTTTCCCGTACTAATAGTGAACACAAGCACGATGATGAAATTGCTTTGTATTATTATTATTATTATTATTATTATACATGTGAAACAGTTATATACATTATGACTGCAAGTGAGGGTGATGGTAGTGTGAAGCACACACAACAGTCAGGAAAATGAGATGTAAGTGTGATTCGAACAAAACCTAAGGCGGGCCTCATATTATTATGCACAACTGTACAGAAAATTCTTCTACAGGCCAAATAATTTTCAATTTCACTATTGTACCAGGGCTCTCTCTCTCTGTCTGTTTACAGTGTTAGTCAAGCACAAACCAGCTGTGAAAATTGGGTCCAAACGGACATACATAATATACACGCACACACATTCAGGATACAAAGATTACTAAGATCAAAAAAACACAGAAGCCGAGCGTTAGAGAACATTTGATCCCACATCAGAAAACACCGGGCACTTTAGGTTAGTTTCTAGTCCGGCGTTGTGCTTCTCCATTGTGTTGCTAGCGTAGTAGATGACGAGTGTCTTAAGTGACTCAAACTCGTACGGGGCTGCAAATCCAAAGCCACCAGAAGGGCCCTTGAAGACGGGGATGCGCTTGAACTTTCCGCCGTCCCTGTGTATCAGAGTAGTAATGTGTATGTGTAAGTCACACGGTAGCTTAATTCAAGGTCTTATATCAGCGCTATCACTGATGCACTGTTGCCGGTACACATGCAATGCATAATGCTCCATGCTCTACACCAATGATGACAATATCTTTAACTCTAAGCTTTTAACAGTTGAAAAAATGGCAGTAAATTTATGGTGACCACCAAATCAAAATTTTGTTCGGTTTCTTGAGGCAATGTTTGCCAATAAATATTTCCAGTTGTGCAGTACAGTTACTGTGCTTACATTATGTCGATAGTGTGACAGTGCACCGGGTCCACTGAACTGGTTGGTACATTTGGCTTCGGACGAACTAAAAACGTTCCGTTTGCCTTCCCACTTAGAATGTCTTTAGAACTCTCTCTACTGCAGAAACACAAACATTATCACGTGGTATATAGTCACATGTTTGTCAGGTGAACGGGCTATAGAATACAGTGGGGATCATGTGACATACGTTACGGTGGGTCGCATCCACATGCTCTCATCAAAGTGTGGCAAGTTTGGTGGAATATGAAGATCCTTCAGTTTTATTACCTACGGAGTGATAAAATAGACCATAAGATGTTGCTGTGCAGAAGAATAGTTATGGTACACATGATATATAAAAGATTTGTGAATGAAAATTTCTGGGTCATGTGAAATATATAATCGATCAATGGATGTACACGTATAGGCCAGTAGTCTATATATATAGCAATTTTGTAGCAAGTTGGTCAACTCACCAAAGGTTATTAACATTGTTTTATTGTAGACTCTCATGTAGAACACTACAGCTCCCTCAGACAGATTAAGCCACTAGCTATATACTCCCCCAGCTCCACCAAACTCACTTCATAAGTGGTGGCCATGGGTCCAGTGGGAGCCAGGGGAGGTCTGATGACAGTATCAGAGCGGTCCCTCATGGGCTGTGTAGTCACTCCCACTAGAGAAGGTCTGTTGTCCGGATGTCCGCCCCCTGGGATTGGCGGGGGCTGTTTCTTCATGAACCTCTGTGATATCTTCTGATAGTCAGCTCTGGGGGGTTACGTTCAGAGACTCAACACACAGTATCTACACATGTATTATCGCGAGAACATAAAGTAAGTATGTATTATATGTCGCATCCATAACATGTGGAACAGCTTAACGCAACGTATTGGACTCACTCTTTGCGGTAGGTGTGAAGCATGGCGTAGGTCGCGTAGAGGTCCTCCTCGGGGTTCTCCTCCTCCATGGTGTGTATCTGGCTGTCGATGTCGCTGGTCCGCCACCCTCTCTGGTTCAGGAACCTGGGAACCAGCGCATGAGATTCAGACAGTGTGAATGGAAGGTTTACAATGTAACCCAATAGGACCACTAATTGGGGTATTATACAAATGCCATAAATCATGTGGGGTGAAATCTGTGTCATTTTTCGCTCAAAATGTCTCCAGATCAACTCACACGATTTTTGCGGCTACATTTCATGTTGGAGTAAATAAACTTTCACCAGAACATTCTTTTTTATGCATAAAATGCACAGAACAATATTATGTGCAAACAGCACAAATTAGATGCACAATTTAATCTGCAGTTGCATGGATGCAATTGAGGCCACATACATACGTATGCAGTGTATGCAGACCTTAGCTTGTTGGCTTTCTCAGCCTGCAGCTGCTTGATCTCTGGCTTGAGGCTGTTGAGCTCAAGTTCGATTTTGTTTTTGATCATCTCTATCCGACGCAGCTTCTGCTGCATGTTGTCCTGGTGGTCTCTCTGCTGGTGGAACCTTCTCCTTAGTAGGTCATAGTTTTGTACCAGCCTGGGAGGGGAGGGGGGACAGTGAGACAGTTATGTCGATTTAACTGCACGTAAACGGCCATGAGAAGCGAAAAGTACGCAGACACATGAGGGGGAAGAGGGAATAAGAGAAGGAGAGGGTGGACAAAATGTGTGGAGGGAGAGGGGGGAAGGAAAGACTTGATTGATGAGTGTATATAGAGGGTGGAAGGCAAGAACAGCATTCTGCATGATTATTACTAGATGCCAGTTTTAAAAAGGGAGCTTGTTGGTAAAACTGAGTAATGTAGCATCTGGCAAGGTTACAAAATTGCCGTACGTACGTATGTGTGTTTGAGTTTACGCTCTACTCACACGTAACACAGAGGTGTTGGTTGGGTGCGTGTGTGTGTACATGTACATGTATGTGTGTGTGAGCGTTTGAGAGGGCTTACAGTTGTTTTTCCTGCTCCGGGCACGACTCGTGTCTCTTCTCATTCTCCTTGACCGCCTCCTCCATGATACTGATCACCTCTGTCTGGGCGTCTATCTCTTGTCGAAGGTGCTGGATCTCCTACATACACATTTACAGTACATAACACACGTATATACAATCTTACTGATGTGTGTGAGAGCTATACTGGCTCACAGAGTGGAGTGGAATCACTTAATCCAGAGACCAATGGGTAGTGACGCATCCATGCACACAAGAAAACTGTTCTTGAGGAAAGAAAAGGAGTCCTTATTTAGAGAGATGCCCTCTCTTATTGGAGTCCTTATTTAGAGAAGTGTCCTTATTTCAGGAGAGGGGAGTTCCACAGTACACAGAAAGCGATAGAGAATGTGTGGACTCACGTCATTCGAGGCCTCGAAACGCTGCTTCATCTCATTGTACTTCTGGTTCTTCTCCCCCAGTTGCTCCTGCATGTGCTTCAGACTGTCCAGTACCGATTCTACTGTGATCTCCCCGTGCTGACATTAGAGGGGGAGGGAGATGGAGAATGAGGTGGGGGAGTGTAGAGGGGGAGAAGAGGGAGAATGAGTGAGGGAAATGTAGAGGGGGAGGAGAAGATGGAGGGAGATGGAGAATGAGTGAGGGAGATGTAGAGGGGGAGAAGAGGGAGAATGAGTGAGGGAGTGTAGAGGGGGAGAAGAGGGAGAATGAGTGAGGGAGTGTAGAGGGGGAGAAGAGGGAGAATGAGTGAGGGAGTGTAGAGGGGGAGAAGAGGGAGAATGAGTGAGGGAGTGTAGAGGGGGAGAGAGGAGAATGAGTGAGGGAGTGTAGAGGGGGGAGATGGAGAATGAGGGGGGAGGCAAAATGAGTATCGTGCATGTACTTCTGATACGATAGGTTTATTCAACTTTCCGTCACACACATTCTGATTGGAGATCACAAATTTTTTGATGTAGACTGAGAAATTGGGCGTCAAAATGTGGGAGGGATACTTGTGCACATGGAAAGAACATATCCTCATTTCTAAATGTCTCCTACACCACACATGATAGGCAGACATGAAAGGCTCATATATACAGGCCTATAATAGTATAGTGTATTATAACACCTCCTTACTGTAACTAAACATGCACACCCCTAAGTCACCACACAAAATTTGCTCAACCCCAGCTCCATACCATAGTAGTATCTAATTTGGAGACTGGGATTTTGAGAGTCATGTCCAGTTTTGGGCTGTAGGGAGCCAGGGAGTTGAGCTGGTAGTAGGCCACCAGCTCCTGGACCGACCGGTACTCCAGCGGCTCTGCGAAGCCGTAGAGCCCGTCTCGCTGGATGATTCTGATCAGCCGGTTAACCCCTCCTTTCCTGGAGGCACGGACATCGAGCGGGCGAGCGAGAGAGAGAGAGAGAGAGAGAGAGAGTCAATGCATTGGTTCTTTCACTTTTACCATCAGGGTTTTAACCAGGGACAAAATTCAAAACTGAAGGAGGAGGGGATTGAGTACTTGTCACACATTCAGTCAGTGCGAAAAGACCGATACACATTGTACAGTACATGACACCCACATATTTTGTTGCTAATGTTGGCTGTACACAGACCTAAGAGTGAGTGTGTACTGTCCAGGCACTCTCTGAGCGTCCCTGACAAGGAATGCACCATCAGGCATGTCCTTCATTATCTCTGTCACCTCTTCTCTGGAGAGAGATGTGGGAATGAGAGAGAGATATAATATTAGAGTAACAAACTTTACTAAGCCCCCGGCGGTGCCAATTCGCTACTACAGATGAGCGCATGCAAACAAGTGGGCATTAATTGGAGTTCACACTCTGATTTACCAGACAGTCCACTGAAATCTAACGTGCAATAGAAGCCCTTGTGCCAAAGCATCTTCACTATGTATATACACAGCGCAAGGGGCTTAAGCTCTAAACTGCACACAGCAGCAATAATCTGCTTACTCTTTAGCCCAGCAGCAAAACCTCTACGGTAAGTATATATAATATACATGTACTACGCCAGTTCAACTGATTTCATGGACGTTGTCTAACATTATACATAATATGATGAAACAGAGGGAGAGAAAAAGGAAAAGATGAGAAAGAAACGAAAATAGAGAAGATTAGCATAATATTATGTGTAGGTGTGAGAGTGGACAACGCAAAGGAAGAATGCAGTACTTCTCAAACTTGGACCATGTCCTAATTCGACCAACCAAAACATTAACATACACAACTTGGCAATGCAAACAGACACATGCACTCGCACATGCACCCCACATGCGGATTGAGAAGGCATGGGCTAGGGCCTGGGTCGCATGGGCGGCACGGCGGGTTCCTTCACACGAACAAACACACGCACAGGAACAAACACACGCACACACACACACAAACCCAGGTTTTCCCTCCCAAAAGTGTTGAAGTTCAAGTGGACTCACTTCTGAATGTTGCCCCAGTACCATTCGCATTCCTCCAGCGAAGACGATACAATTTCGGAGGGTTGTTCAGGAATGGAAGGGACTGTGGGCGTGGCAGGGTGGGTGGGGCTAGGTGTGTATGGGGCGGAGGGACTTGCAGAGAGAGGGGTGTGGCCATCGACAAGGTTCACTCCACCAGGTGAGCTACCAGGCGGAATATCAATGTATGCATTCGCTAGAGAAGAGAACAGGCAAGTATACAACTAAACACAACGGCAGTATTTCATACACTACTGTAAACCCAGTAATGTTGGCACCCAAAATAATTAGCGTTTTTGATAGAACTCACATATTAGCGGCTTATAAATTTAGTGAAATTTTGATAGCCAGTTACAAATTTACCAAAAAATTGCCATCCTATTATTTTAGCATTTAGGATGGGAAACGCTAATTTCGCTAAATTTCATGGCGCGCAAAAATTTCTGGGTTTACAGTATGTTGTATACACAATGGAACCCCTCTCCAAGAAGGACACCACCGAAACAAGGACACCTCTTTATGAAGGCTCTCTCAAAGAGCAGTTATACAATCATGCCTATTTTACATCAAGTCTCGAGTTTTGCGAAGAAATGTGAAACACGCTACGTACGATTGTAGAGTTTCAGTAGATATGCTCTGCATATGTACGTAATACACAGTTAACATTACATTGAGATGCCCCAAAGGGCCTGTGGGCAGGTGAGGTACGATTGGGGACTTTCTTGGGAGGTAGAGAAGGAGCTGGGTAGCCAGGTAGAGATGCTTTGGATTGGGGGGAGGGAGGGAGGGAGGGAGGGAGGGAGGAGAAGTGTAAAGGTAGTTGAAGAAAGATAGAAAAGAAAGAAAGGAGGGAGGGAAAGAGACAGTCAACAAAACTTCCTTGTGGAACTGGTTACTTCCTACCTCCAAAATTTGGAGACGTATCTCTTCTCTGTAAGCCTACACGTAGAGATTATGGGTATAAATGGGCAGAAAACATGTGTGCCATATATACATACATACATACATACATACATACATACATACATACATACATACATACATACATACATACATACATACATACGTACATGGAAAGGCATGCATATCATATCACACACGTGTACACACACACACACACACGTGTAATTCACCACTCGCCACATCTCAGTTCAAGTGTTGAACAATCATTGTACATACATACATACGTAACCTACAGTATCACATATTATATCACAATGTGTATAATAAACGCGTATATAGCAGTATTTTTCGATTGTGTGTATGTCTATTGGGTCAAGGAGAGACTTTATCGGAGGAGCTAGAAAAATGTACTAAAGCAGTAACTTTGGAGGTCAGTGCTTGCGGAGAAAAAATTAGGCGATCTTTTCATTTGACGATACTTTTTCGCAGATTGATGGTCTTTTAGCTCCAAAAATTGACCCCCACCCACACAATTTATGTAATGGATTGCTCTCAAAAACCGGAAAGTTCTTGCTATTCTGTAGGTGGTGGTGAGTGTGTAATTATGTACATACAACATACTGGCTAGGGTACTTCTGTTGCCAACAATTTGATCAGAGTTTCGTCGAGGAGATGGGACAGGCGAGGGATATTGGGGAGGATGGTTAGGAGTGGAGCGAGGAGGAGGGACGGGGGGAGCTGAGGGAGGAGGGGGAGGGGGAGAGGGGTGGAGGAGAAAGAGGGGAAAGATGGAGGGAAGGGCAGTGGAAAGTGGCAGTAGTATCAGCATGCATCAACACTACACCAACACACATACATTACAGGGAACTCCCACACTACTCCACTAGTGGTGCCTGTTTATACAGCAGGTCAAAGATGGGGGCAGTATGATGATTGTGGCCCATTTACTACGCCATATTTCCCCCAAAATGACTATATAGCCATTGAGGTATATACAACGAATCCCTCCTCACATTCCTCAGTCTGCAAACTAGGCTTTGCACAGCATCTGTGCTATGGTGAAACCCTCTTCTAAGGACACCCCTGAAATTTACGGATACGGACAGACACTCTTTTTTCTCCCCCAGAGTAAGTTTGAAGTAAGGACACTTCATCACTTTCTTCCCATTTGTGATTATAGGGGTTGCACTGTGCGTAATGTACATACATACATACATACATACGTTGTCCATTTGGAGACTGTGCAATAGGAATAGATGAGGACTGACGTGGAGGCACTCCTAAACAGAGGAATACAGAGAGAGAGAGAGAGAGAGAGAGTTGGAAAAGAAGCACTGCATTGATTGATTGTACACGGTACACCACCACCTATACAAGAGCAAACACAAACATGCAATACATACACAATACAGGGAGACTTGGACAATACACTATCACACGACTGAGTGTTTAGGCCAACTCAATGGGACAGTACTTCAAACAGGACACGAGCACACACATACAAACACACACACACACACCTACAGTATTGCATGTGTAGTACACTTACGTGATATGGCTGCACTGAATGTATAGGCTATATGAATAGTGCATTGTAAGTGTGTTAGAGTGTGGTGTGGAGTGATTTGGTCAAAGCTACATATCCACAAACAACAAAAGGACCACTTGTATATACTAATAGGGCAATAGAGAGCAGCAATTGGAAGGAGTGGGTAGCAACAGCAGGACATACATTACCATACCACACACACATGCTCTCCCTCTCTATCTCCCTGCTCCTCACAACCTGTACACCAGCAGAAGATCTCTGATCCTTTCCCTCACATACACTAGAGTGTAGTAAGCGAACGCAAGCCAGCCATCCTTGGTGGAGTTGGAGCAACGACGGGAAATTCAATTAAAAAGAACAACAATGCCTAGCGCGTTCTGAGCTATCTAAGAAGAGAGCAAAAGGAGCGAGAGAGGAGAGAGAGAGAGAAAGGGAGAGAGGAGGAAGAGAGAAACGGGGAGAGAGAGAGAGAGAGAGAAAGGGGAGAGAGAGAGGAGAGAAGGCGAACAGGGGGAGCTGAGAGAGAGAGAGAGAGAAGAAAGGGGAGAGAGAGAGAAGGAGAGAAAGGAAGAGAGAGAGAAGAGAGAAAGGGGAGAGAGAGGAAGAGCGAACGGAGAGAGGAGAGAGAGAAGCAGAAAAGTGAGAGAGCTCTCCTCTCTTCCCTTTTCTCTCTCTCTCCTCTCTCCCTTTTCTCTCTCTCTCCTCTCTCCCTTTTCTCTCTCTCTCCCTCTCTCCCTTTTCTCTCTCTCTCCTCTCTCCCTTTTCTCTCTCTCTCTCCTCTCTCCCTTTTCTCTCCCTTTTCTCTCCTGTCCCTCTTTGCCTAGACACACACAAGCATGCACAGGAAGCATTTCCAAGCCTCCATAATCCGTGTCAACACACCCTCCCCTGTTCTCCCAGTACACAACAGTTCTCAGAAATGACTGGACTTCTGTTTACGTCGACTCGAGAGCCTCTGTTGACAGTAACTTCTGCACACCGGACATCACTCCCAACTAACACACACTCTCGCATCTACATACATACAAACACACCAAGAACGTAACACACACTAGCAATGCATGTTGGTGAGCATTCCCCAACAATACACTAACCCCCTTCAGTGGAGCTTAAAAATAGGTACAGTGTGATGTTTTTAACCAACCTACGTAATTTTCACTCACGCACATCATCTACGGTGACGGATTTCAGGAACCCCCTCTCTAAAGACACCACTGAAATGAGGACACTTCTCTCCTTCACAAGAGCAGCTTTTGCATGCAGAGTTTAGCAACCCCATTAAATAAGGACACCTCACTAATATCTATGTCCCACGCTATCCGTATTAGACGGGTTCCACTTTATACAGAAAATAATCCGAAATGTATTTATTCACTTCAGTCGACTAGGTAGGGGCGCTTCCTTTGCCAATATTAATGCTTTCGCTCGCTAAAACTCTCCACGTGCAAGGTGCCACACACATACAATCGTCAAACGCAATAACCAAGGCGTAGCTGCCAAAGTGTATGGGACTATGATAGTACTGTACTGTATGTATACATACAGTGTGGCACGAACACGTTCACTGCCTCAGAAGGAAAGAGGGAAACAAACACAGCTTCCCAGTTTCATTTCAAGAGGAAACGGAAAAAGCATCTCAACCTTCCAAAAAAAGTCTCTTACTAGTATTCCCCACAGTGCAGTGGACCCCGACCCTCTATAGGAAACCCCCGAGTGAGGAACACCAAGGACACTTCTTTCCTCAAGAACAGTTTCTCTACATGCAATGGCCCTGGAATACCTCACTAATATGAACAGCTTTCCTTTTGTCCCATTGGTGATGAGATGCTCTACCACCCGAATGCGAGGGTTAGTAGAAAGGGAAGACCACAAGAACTCGATGAATTCCATGAGTATTGACTGTTCACGGGTCGTTAGCTTCTAATTCACACTGCCAAACAGTCATTTTCCTCTTACCTAATCTTCACCGTCCCTCCCTCCACCGCCCTCCTTGTTACAACTCCCTTTTGTTCCTCCACTTGCTCCTATCCAATAAACATCATTTTGACCCTATTCTCCCTCTCCCTTTCCTAATCGCCATTTACGTGTATACCTGTCTGCTACTCTTTCCCTCTCCCACTCACCCCCTTCCCTCTCCTGTTCTTCCTTCAACATTTTGTCTTTTCCCCCTTTGCTCTGACCTTCCGTCTTTTCCCCTATATCGTTCCAACATAATTGTTTTTCCCCATCTCGCTCAAAATTTCGTCTTTCCCCCTATCTTGCTCCCTCCCCTATCCATCTCTGACATTTCATATTTTCCCCCTATCTCACCCATTCTTCGCTACTACTCACCACTGATCTCACCCATTCTTCGCTACTACTCACCACTGACGTACGTACACAACCGCACACATTCCCAGCCGGGCACCATCGTGGTATTGTTTGTGTACTCAGGTCTTGAAAACCAACATTTCGCTAACCGGAAGTATACTTACTCTCTCGTCTCTAAAATTATATCAGCCAAAAGGTCGCCGATCAAAGAAGTAAACATGTAAACCTGTGAAGCATCGTCAGTAGTATCCACTTTAATGCACGGCCGCTGTTTACTCAGAGAGAGGGGCTTTGTATTCTCAACACTCGGACCTGCACTTTCACTCTATCATTGTAAACTTACGCCAGGTCGATTCTCTGTGCATCAACAAGATATATATTATATATATGTACGCAAGGGGGGAGGTGGGTGGAGGAGTGAATCGTACACTTTCACCCAACCATAAATGTGGCCACGTTATCTTCAGTCGCTTCCTTCTGATAACCTGTGTACACATGTATGTACATAGGCTAAATCTCTATCCCGTTTGCCTTTACCTGTAGCTAAAGCCTCTATCATAGTGCACATGATGGTAAACAAATACTGCCAGGGAGGTAAACAAGGACCCGGTGGGTCGTATGGTGCGTCTCAAGGAACTAAGGAGTTAAATGTCTTGAGCTCTGAATTTATAAGCAGCCGCTATCCAACACTACAGAAACGTGCCTCAACGTGGCCATCGTCCAGCGCCGAACAAAGGTCAACCGACAGAACTGTCATAACTACAGCTACACCCACTAAGACAACGGACTGTGACCCAACGCACTGCCCTGTACAATTGAACCTGTTCCACACAGTTTGGCGTCGGGCAGTACACAAACCTATTCCCACCTCCATACATGTCGCGGAGATGGCGTACACATTCAGGACTTACTGGGTGGTCCCGGGCCGTTCATGATTCTTGGTGATTAGAACGGGAGGTAGATGGACTTCTTACTTATATTTCTAACACTATGACAGCCAGACACGTACGATCACTTGAATACATCGGTGAATCCAGCCATGTTTTCTCTAGCTTATTGATGATCACGTTTTTGCGGATGGCCGGTTCGGTTGCGCGCCATTGCGCACGCGTGCTCGCGCGTAGAATCGAAGCGCCCATCAGATCATCTACGAGGTACGCGCTTATTGAAAACAAGATAGAAAACGGCTTTGTGTCTCCCAAAGAGTGGATAGCTACAAATGACCACCGCAGGTAAGCCGAAAGCCAAAGATATCGACCATAACTCATGCTACACAGTCCTTACCCGTGATTTTTACACTTGCGAGCGCATCACCCAGCCCCACCCCCTTTTTCTGCTACAGCCTCCTCTGCGGCCGAGAAAGCTCGGCAGATCGCAGCGAAGTATTCCGGAGAGGGCCAAAGCTTCCAAGTGAAGGTATATCTACTACACGTCGCTCCCATAAACGATATAGAACATAGATAGCGTTACAACGATTGTAGCTACACTACTACTACTGTTCTTACACAGTATCTAGGTACGCAGGAGGTTAGCAGCGCCAAGGGAGATGCAGTTATTGCCGACTGCCTCAAGGAGCTCCGCATGCTGTTCAAGGACGTTGCGGTCAACCTTCCTAAGGTTGTGGTCACCCTGCAGCTGAGCGGAAATCACCGTCATTGACGAAAAATCCAAGGTGAGTGTCTGATGATCGAAACTTGCTGCAGTTTGTATGCACAATGCTACTTTGACTTGTTTGTGTACAAAATTTTCCTTTCCCTTTCATTGAGCTTATAATAACAGGAGTGTTTGTATACCTGACTCACCCACACATCTTTCGACCTTGTGACATCTGGTGTGTACATGTATACAGGTGGAGAACATCAAAGTTCCGCTGGACAAGATCTCTTACGTGTGTCTGGACCCAGCAGACAGCTCTGTCTTCTCTTTCATCATACGCAGCAACGACACAATCTCTTCCAAGGGACTGCGACTGCACGCTTTTGTTTGCCATCCACAAGTAGTAAGCTAAACAGAATGTATACACATGTAGACTTTTCCTACTGCAATTTAGTGTTGGAATATCATAATTGGATATCTTTCCTGTATTGCGAGAATAAAGGTTGTTTTCTCTCTTCAGGCAATAACGTTTAATCGCTCAGCACGGGAGCTGTTTGATTTCATGGCCCGTCTGATGCGAGCCAAGAAAAAGATGGCGCGGCAGGAAGCAGAGGCGGCTGGAGTCAACAGTCAGACTCCAGAACTGCCTTCAATTCCTCTTTCAGACTCTGGTGAGGAAAGAGTTAAAAAGCATACTATTTGCTCTATTTATACATAGATTATGAGTTGTTCATACACACCACATTGGTGTATTGCTAATATAGGGGAACCCAACATGGGCTTTAGAATGCTGCTATATAGAATTTATTTATTGAGGCTAACTCTAACGACGTCATTGTTGCCATTCATAGCATGAATACAATACTATAGTTTCCCCAAGAGAAATATGTTTTTTTCCCAATACCCTCCACACCCATACACAGCCTATTGAGTTACATGCCACATATACATTACTGTGGGAGTATATATACATGGGCAGGTGTATGCGTGGTGTGTGTAGCCACAGTAAAATGTTGGTAGAAGACTGTTTTAGTTAGCTGTGTTCTCCTTGTGTTGTAGAACCTCAGGCTATAGTTCCAGCTACAGCTGAACCCAGCAATCAGCCTCCAGAGGAACTGGTGAGTTAGTTACATAGCTCAAATCTACTGTCTCTAGTCTCTGTGTAATTAGGCATGAGTTTTCTGCTACCTCACTTGGCATGCTAATAGTTGAGACAAGCATGAGGTCGAGCCAGAGGTCGAGCCAGAGAGTCTATGAGTAGTAGTATACAGCATTTAGTGGGAGGTATGATTAGATAGAGATATCAAACCACCAGACCACCATGTAATGAGTGTATGTTGTCCCATAGATCCAGCTGCCAGGTGGAAACCCTTTTGCAGGGTCCACGGATGGTTACATGTACAGAGTAAGTCAAGTAAACATTGTACTATCAGAACTTCCTTTTCAGTAAGTATATCTATAGTGGGCCTCTGCCAACTTGGCTGAGTTTGGAGTACGTTGCGAGTATAGGCTTTGTGTAGGCAGGCCAGAGTTTGAAGTCCATTTCTATAAGTACCCTAAAGTTGAGCTCAGCAGTCTAGAGTGCATTTGCCAAGTGAACTTCTGGGATAGCTATACAGCTGTGACTACTGGCGGTTTGCCTGTGCAGGAGAAGAGACAACAAGCTGTGTTTAATGAATGGAAAGAACTTGAGAAAGAACTCGATGAGATTGGACAGGTTAGTTCATACCACAAACCTACACATCAAGAGCTAGTTTAGAACTCTTTTCAGCTGTTACACTCAGAGTAGTAAGATGGCACCATAGATCCTGTGTACCTCATTTTCACACAGGATCTGGGTGTTTCCAGTCCAGCAAAAGTACCAGTGACCTCGACTCCTACAGCTTCTTCACAAACAATCTCAGCAAGTCTCGCCCCAAAGGCCTCCCAGCAGGAACCTCCTTCAACTTCCCAGCCTCCAGTCCTGCCAGACATCATGACAGCCAGTGGCTCTGATCCTTTCAGCAGCAGCTTCTTTGGCAGCTCCTTTGGTGGTGCTAATCCTCCTGCACTTGTGGCAGTCCCTCAGAGGAACGGAGACACAAACATCTTTGACGATCTTGTCTTCAACGGCCACGTTGACAAGACAGAGCACACGTCTGACTCTGTTCCATCGACCCCCGAGGGTAAGAGGCTGACCTACGCATCGAGACCTCGTCCCAAGGGGAGGTCCCTGGACACATTGAGTCCTCTCTCCCCACCACCCGATGGTGGTGGGTTGAGGGAAGCTCGAGAGGTAAGCCTGAGTCCCGACAGCGAAGAACAAGTGAAGAGCATTCTCACCAACACTGACCCTTTCTCGCCTCCCCCCCTGAACGCTTTCCAGTTTCCTCAACCAAGCAGCAACGAATCGGGCTTCTTTCAGCCGGCATCCTTCACGCCAATTGCCAGCCCTAGCTCTGGTGTCTTTTCTCCTACATCGGTGATGACACAGGACTCGATACAACTGGTCAACCAGCTCTACCAGTCCCAATCGTACACACCCAATGGATCGTTCTCCGGTCCGTTCTCGCCACCTGCTCAGGTCCCCTACCAAATGGTTCCAGCAGTGATGTCTCCACCGATGGGACTAATGCAGCCTCACTTCCAAGGACAGGGCGTTGGCCCACCAGTCATGATGCAGCAAGTACCAGCTCAACCTCAGGTGCTCCCAGATGTGATGAGCCCTCAGGCAATGCTTCCTGTTGGGGTCAACAGCTTTGACGGCATTCTCTCTCCAACTCTCGTTAATTCACCCCCGCGACCTCCTGCAGGCTCAGTCTGGGCTCCTCAGAATGCCCCAGAAATCGCCCTGCAAAGGGAACAGAGAGATTGCATGTTTGCTGACCTGGTGTCCCAAACCTCCCACCCAATCCCAGAGAAACGGAAAGAGTTTGAGCCCGAGGTGAATAAGGTGGCCAAACCCACTCTCGCCGAGCTGCAGGAGAAGAAAAAGAAGGAGCAGGAAGAAGCTTTCATAGCGATCACCTCAGCGGAAAGCACAGAAGAGAAAGGGGAAGAAGTAGTCGATTGGCCATCTTCGCCATTTGATGACATTGTTCTAACCCAACCATTAGGGAGTATCCCTGAGCCTCTGCTAGCCAGCTCCAGCCCAGTATCTACAGCCACAGCGACAGGCAGTCAACAGAAATCCAGCGAGTCTACTGGGCAGAAAGATCCACTTGCACAGGTCCTTGACTTGGACAATTTCGACGCGGCATTTCAAGAGGGTGGCACTCAGGATCAGAGCATTGAGTCTGCTTTTGAGGCACAGGCAGCTCCCAAGTCGCAGCCACTCCCATCCCCACCAGCCACCAACGATCCGTTTGCCCCGACTGCTACTGTAGCCTCCCCCACAGAGAAGACCGCGGCTCCTTGGAGCCTCTTCTAATGAGTGATGTCCCCCTTTCTCTCGTGTGACTTTATAGGCTTGGATATAACTGTGATTGTGAGTGTGGCCCTTAGTTTTGCTTTGTGTGAGTATTGCGTATTAATCCTATTGTTG